ATTTTTAGGGCCTTCCTCTGACACCGCCTGGTACAGTGAGGGAAAAAAGTATTTGATCCCCTGCTGATTTTGTACGTTTGCCCACTGACAAAGAATTGATCAGTCTATAATTTTAATGGTAGGTTTATTTGAACAGTGAGAGACAGAATAACAAACAAAAAATCCAGAAAAACCCATGTCAAAAATGTTATGAATTGATTTGCATTTTAATGAGGGAAATAAGTATTTGACCCCTCTGCAAAACATGACTTAGTACTTGGTGGCAAAACCCTTGTTGGCAATCACAGAGGTCAGACATTTCTTGTAGTTGGCCACCAGGTTTGCACACATCTCAGGAGGGATTTTGTTCCACTCCTCTTTGCAGATCTTCTCCAAGTCATTAAGGTTTCGAGGCTGATGTTTGGCAACTCGAACCTTCAGCTCCCTCCACAGATTTTCTATGGGATTAAGGTCTGGAGACTGACTAGGCCACTCCAGGACCTTAATGTGCTTCTTCTTGAGCCACTCCTTTGTTGCCTTGGCCGTGTGTTTTGGGTCATTGTCATGCTGGAATACCCATTTTCAATGCCCTGGCTGAGGGAAGGAAGTTCTCACCCAAGATTTGACGGTACATGGCCCCGTCCATCATCCCTTTGATGCGGTGAAGTTGTCCTGTCCCCTTAGCAGAAAAACACACCCAAAGCATAATGTTTCCACCTCCATGTTTGACGGTGGGGATGGTGTTCTTGGGGTCATAGGCAGCATTCCTCCTCCTCCAAACACGGCGAGTTGAGTTGATGCCAAAGAACTCAATTTTGGTCTCATCTGACCACAACACTTTCACCCAGTTCTCCTCTGAATCATTCAGATGTTCATTGGCAAACTTCGGACGGGCATGTATATGTGCTTTCTTGAGCAGGGGGACCTTGCAGGCGCTGCAGGATTTCAGTCCTTCACGGCGTAGTGTATTACCAATTGTTTTCTTGGTGACTATGGTCCCAGCTGTCTTGAGATCATTGACAAGATCCTCCTGTGTAGTTCTGGGTTGATTCCTCACCGTTTTCATGATCATTGCAACTCCACGAGGTGAGATCTTGCATGGAGCCCCAGGCCGAGGGAGATTGACAGTTCTTTTGTGTTTCTTACATTTGCGAATAATCGCACCAACTGTTGTCACCTTCTCACCAAGCTGCTTGGCGATGGTCTTGTAGCCCATTCCAGCCTTGTGTAGGTCTACAATCTTGTCCCTGACATCCTTGGAGAGCTCTTTGGTCTTGGCCATGGTGGAGAGTTTGGAATCTGATTGATTGATTGCTTCTGTGGACAGGTGTGTTTTATACAGGTAACAAGCTGAGATTAGGAGCACTTCCTTTAAGAGTATGCTTCTAATCTCAGCTCGTTACCTGTATAAAAGACACCTGGGAGACAGAAATCTTTCTGATTGAGAGGGGGTCAAATACTTATTTCCCTAATTAAAATGCAAATCAATTTATAACATTTTTGACATGCGTTTTTCTGGATTTTTTTTGCTGTTATTCTGTCTCTCACTGTTCAAATAAACCTACCATTAAAATTATAGACTGATCATTTCTTTGTCAGTGGGCAAACGTACAAAATCAGCAGGGGATCAAATACTTTTTTCCCTCACTGTATAGAGGTCCTGGATGGCAGGGAGCTCGGCCCCAGTGACGTACTGGGCCGTACGCACTACCCGGATGCCGAGCAGTTTCCATACCAAGCGGTGATGCAGCCAGTCAAGAAGCTCTCAATAGTGCAGCTGTAGAACTCAATGGCGCAGCTGTAGGATCTGAGGGCCCATGCCAAATCTTTTCAGCCTCCCGAGGGGGAAGAGGCGTTGTTGTGCCCTTTCCACGACTGTGTTGGTGTGTGTGGACCATGATAGATCCTTAGCGATGTGGACACCGAGAGCTGTCCCAGTGACATGTCAAATATGAAATAATGAAGATCAGTGCTCCACAATGAAGTATATCCCCTACAGGGCTACATGCTACAGTACCTTCAGAAAGTATTCACACCCCCTGAATTTTTCCACATGTTGTTGTGTTACAGCCTGAATTAAAAATGGATTAAATTGAGATGTGTCACTGACCTACACACAATACCCCATAATGTCAAAGTGGAATCATGTTTTTAGAAATGTTTACAAATTAAATAAAAATGAAAAGCTGAAATGTCTTGTCAATAAGTATTCAACCCCTTTGTTATGGCAAGCCTAGATAAGTTCACATAATAACTCACTGTGTGCAATAATAGTGTTTTAAGGTCCCTCAGTCGAGCAGTGAATTTCAAACACAGGTTCAACCACAAAGACCTGGGAGGTTTTTCCAGTGCGGTGTCACTCACAAGTTAGATGCAGGAAAGAGTCCGTTGGGGCTTGAGAGGTCAGTGAACATCCCCTGTAGGGGCCCTGGGACAGGCTGGAAGGCGGTCTGCTGGTGCCTGATGCCAACAGACACAACACTTAGATTTTATTTCTATATTAAATTATGTAACCTTTATTTAACCAGATGAGTCAAGTTAGCCTTGTCCCAGATCTGTCTGTGCTCTTGCCAACTCCATTGCTCATGATCAATTATGGTCCTCTGTATCTCAGTTGGTAGAGCATGGCGCTTGTAACGGCAGGATAGTGGGTTTTGATTCCAGAGTCCACCCGTATGTAAAATGTACGTGCGCATGACTAAGTCGCTTTGGATAAAAGTGTCTGGTAAATATACATTATTATTATATATTATAATATATATTTTTATTATATATTGAACCATTGGTATGACAATGAGTGACAAGGAGTTGGCACAAATAGACTGACACTCAGGCTAGAGTCCTGTCACTGGACAACAAAAGAGCTTAACAGTAGCTTACAATAGCATGAGCCACATAAAACTCTAATGACTAAAATGTAAATGTGTCTACTGAAATGACTAAAATGTAAATGTGTCTACTGAAATGACTAAAATGTAAATGTGTCTACTGAAATGACTAAAATGTAAATGTGTCTACTGAAATGACTAAAATGTAAATGTGTCTACTGAAATGACTAAAATGTAAATGTGTCTACTGAAATGACTAAAATGTAAACGTGTCTACTGAAATGACTAAAATGTAAATGTGTCTACTGAAATTACTAAAATGTAAATGTGTCTTCCCGGGCACATAAGGGATCACTAACTAACAAGGTACTTACGGAGAGAGAGAGTAGAACGGCGACGCGCTGGCTCTATTTCCCTGGTCCCTACGAGAGAATGAAGACCACCTTGTAAAGTGTGTGTGTGTGTGTGTTTGTGTGCGTGTGCGTGTGTGTGTGTGTGAGATATTCAGACTCACATGGAATAGAGAGAGGAATTATGGTCCTGTGGGGTTTCACTGCATTGAGGAGAGTCACAAAGGGGTTCCCTGCAACAACAAAAAAACACACACATACACAATTTTAGTACTCATCACTGCATTTTCTACCAGAAAGTTTGTTGGCCTTCTTTGATGTCACATAGGTTGATACATTGCTATGTTTTCATTTATAAAGCCCTTTTACAAAAAGTCCCACTGTACCTAACACCTTTACTAAACTTTAGACATACGAGTTACCACACCCGGTCTCAGTGATGGCTAACTCTGGAAATTCCTTGGGTCTCTACTGAGTTAGGTAAATCAGCTTTTAGTTTTCTTGCAGCTTATTTGTGGAACAATCTGCAAAATGTTCTTAAATGTGATGTTTTGGTGTCTCTAGGGTAATTCAGAAAGCTGATTGAGGACCTTATTACTGATGAATGTGTTTGTTCTTTATGACCGTGTTTTTCTTTCTACTTGCATTTTGTAATTATATTTTGATGTGTGTATTTTCTGTAATTTCTGTAATTCAGGGGTCATCTGTAAAAGAGACCTTGGTCTCAGTATGACTCCCTGATAAAATAAAGGTTAAATACAAAATAAAATAAATACACTGAATGTACAAAACATCTTTCCATGACATAGACTGACCAGGTGAATCCAGGTGAAAGCTATGATCCCTTATTGATGTCACTTGTTAAATCCACTTCAATCAGTGTAGATGAAGGGGAGGAGACAGGTTAAAGAAGGATTTTTAAGCCTTGAGACAATTGAGACATGGATTGTGTATGTGTGCCATTCAGAGGGTGAATGGGCAAGACAAAATAATTAAGTGCCCTTGAACGGGGTATGGTAGTAGGTGCCAGGCACACCGGTTTGTGTCAAGAACTGCAACGCTGCTGGGTTTTTCAAGCTCAACAGTTTCCTGTGTGTATCAGGAATGGTCCAAAGGACCAAAGGATCCAAAGGACATCCAGACAATTTGACACAACTGTGGGAAGCATTGGAGTCAACATGGGCCAGTATCCCTGTGGAACGCTTTCGATACCTTGTAGAGTCCATGCCTCAACAAATTGAGGCTGTTCTGAGGGCAAAAGGGGGTGCACCTCAATATTAGGAAGATGCTCTTAATGTTTTGTACACTCAGTGTATAGTTTGCTTTTAACAACATCATGTTAGCTTATGCCTGGAATATATCATAACTTTAACATCCAGACACACAAATGCCACCATATTCGCTATGGGCCCTGGTCAAAAGTAGTGCACGATGTAATATGGGGATAGGGTGCCATTTGGGACGCAACCTTGGTTAGTGATATTGCTTCTGTGTAACTCACACTCCCACTTTCGTCTGGATGGAGACAACAAGGTATCCCGAGGTATCCCGAGGTAACGGGTTATCTGGTTAAAATGATGCAGGGAAGAAGATTGGAATTCCCATTTAAACAGATTTCTTACAATTGTCATATTATTCATCCAATTCAAAGCTTCATAACACAAATAATATACTCTCTGTCTGTCCGTCTGTATGTCTGTTTGTCTCTGTCTGTCTCTGTCTGTCTGTCTGTCTGTCTGTCTGTCTGTCTGTCTGTCTGTCTGTCTGTCTGTCTGTCTGTATGTCTGTCTGTATGTCTGTCTGTATGTCTGTCTCTTCTAGTTGGTAATAAATAGGACTTACCTGTGTAGTATCTTCGAAACACATCATTCTTTGGCAGATCTGGATACACGTGTGTGATAAAGTCGATGTCTCGAATACGGTTACCAAGGGAACGGATCTCCAAGTCTCTTTTGGTAGCCGGTTGAATATTCTGGATCTTCTGGCCCCCGTCTAGAAAGAGAGAGGGAGGAAGAGGAGCAGAGAGAGAGAGAGAGAGAGAGAGAGGAGCAGAGAGAGAGAGAGAGGAGCAGAGAGAGAGAGAGAGAGAGAGAGGATAAGGAGAGAGAGAGAAGAGAAGGAGCAGAGAGAGAGATAGATGGAGCAAGAGAATAGAGGAGCAGAGAGAGGAGGGAGCGAGAGAGAGAGAGAGTGAGGAGAGACGAGAGAGAGAGAGGAGCAGATAGAGAGGAGAGAGGAATCAGAGAGTAGAGGAGCATATGAGAGAGAGAATAGAGAGGCAGAAGAGGAGAGAGAGAGAGAGAGAGAGCTAGGTATATAGAGCTATAGGAGAGATAGAGGAGTCAGGAGAGAAGATAGATAGAGAGAGAGAGAAGCAGAGAGAGAGGAGGGAGAGAGAGAGAGGAGAAGATATAGAGAAGGGCATGAGAGAGAGAGAGACGAAATAATCGAGAGAGAGGAGCAAATAGAGAGAGAGAGGAGCATAAGAGAGGAAGCAGAGAGAGAGATGATCGAGAGAGAGCAGATGAGACGAGATATGAGCAGAGAGCATAGATATAAGAATAGTATCAGAGAGAGAGAGAGAATTAGAGATATAAGCAACAATTAGAGAGATCAGAAGATAGATATAGAGATAGAGATCAGAGAGAGATATTCATAAAGCTCATATCAGAGAAGAAACAGAGATATAGATCAAGAGACAGTAGAGAGATAGCAGAGAAGAGGAAAAGGAGAGGAATATTAAGGAGCAGAGAGATATAGCATAGAGAGATAAGAGATAAGAGAGCATAAGAGGATAGAGCATATATAGATAAAAGATATAGCGCAAGAGAGGAGAGGAGCAGATAAAGAGAGAGAGATAGAGAGAGAGGGAGGAGAGAGGCAGAGATAGAAGAATCAAGCGATAGAGAGAGAGAGAGATCACGAAGTGAAATAGAGAGGTCCAATACAGAGAGAATAAGATAGAGAAGCAGAGAGAATAGAAGATAGAGAGAGATAGAGATAGAGATATAAGAAGAGAAGAGAAGAATAATAGAGAGAGATGACCAGGTGAAGGTAAATAGGGAAAATAATGTATCTCTGGCCACAATCATTAGAATATGAGTTCTAATATGTAGTTCTGTGTCTCTGGCATCCAGCATGCCATACCAGAGGCAAGAAGTCAGAATGGAAAAACAGAGTATGATACAATAGACACTAGTGCACTATAAAGGAAATAGGTTGCCATTTGGGACGCAGCCATTATAGTACTCCTTTCTCCAAAGATAACCATGTAATTTAGCTAACATGATGTAGTTGCTATAAAAGATAGCTATATGATTGTGTGTGTGTGTGTGTGTGTGTGTGTGTGTGTGTGTGTGTGGCAGACTTACTCTCGGAGGGAGCCACATATGCGATGGTGATGCCTCCTATCTCAGAGTCACTGAAGCGCAGTAGGAAGGTTCCATTAGGGCGGTCCTTTAGGATCAGGTGGAGGTGCTGCTTACCGATGAAACCAAATATCAACCTAGAGGAAGGAAGACACACCTTTTTCTGTCTGTGTGTGTGTCTCTGTTATGTGACTACATATGAACTCTTTCAAATACTTTAACTGTGCTCGATTGAGCTTGTCTGGAGCGATGGAACCAATGGAATAGTCCCAAAGGTACAAACCCTGTCGGTCTGACACTCAAGACTTTCAAACACTATTTGAACCCAGGTCTGCTCTGTCTCACTGGTAGACAGTTCATTAGGGCAGTTCAGCTCACCATAGCAACAAAAAATATCCATGAAAAACAAAAACAAGTGTAGTCCTTCCCTGTTTCAGTCTGTTTTCTTCCGTTTGGTGCCTAGTGAACACAACCTAGCTCTGATTCTGACTGGCAGACATGACTCACCCATCGCTCCAATAGCTCTTCAGGTGCCTCTTGGTAAGCTCTATCACACCGTCAAACCACTGCCAGAAGGTGAAAGGTCGTCCGGGGAGCATCTCCTGAGGTATTGACCAACAAAAGACAGTCTGCACAATCCTTCTGGTTGATAAATCTCACTCTGTTCTGTTCACAATTTTACTAGCAAACATATTCACTGGTAAATGCAGTACAGTGCATCTAGGCCATGTGGCATATGGAGTTACCCTAGAGGTGGTGGGTGTACAGGACCTACCTAAAGACAGGTGTGCTTGTGTGTGTGTGTCTGTACCTTGTTGAACTGAGCCCATGACACCAGCATGTTGCTGTAGTCTCCAGCTATGTCCGGCTTGTCGAAGATCTTCTGGGCCAGGAAGTGTTGGTTGTAGCTGTCAAAGCAACGCTCTGTCCCGACGTCCGACATGAACTTACTGTTCAGGGTCACGCACATCTGCTTCCAGGGAACGCGCTCCGGAACCACAAACGGAATCCTGTCCTGATGACGACATCATAAGGATATATTATTATATATTATTATTTTTTTAGGGGGTAGATCAACTTTAAAATTGCAAATAGATTGTAACTACCATCAATGTAATTGTCTGCATCACCTCCAATCCCACATACGTTTTTTCTCGCAAATATACAGATACATATACACATACACACATACATACATACATACACACATACATATAAATACATATACATACATACATATCCTTTTTCTAAATTCATCCTCCTTTATTACTTTCCAACCCACCACCCCTCTCCTAATTGGAGTAAACTAGTGAACAACAACGCTTAGGCCTCTACTTCCAGTTTATACATACTATATACACTACTGTTCAAAAGTTTGGGGTCACTTAGAAATGTCATTGTTTTCGAAAGAAAAGCAATTTTTATGTCCATTAAAATAACATCAAATTGATCAGAAATACAGTGTAGACATTGTTAATGTTGTAAATGGCCATTGTAGCTGGAAACGGCAGATATTTTATGGAATATCTACATAGGCGTACAGAGGCCCATTATCAGCAACCATCAGTCCTGTGTTCCAATGGCACGTTGTGTTTGCTAATCCAAGTTTATCATTTTAAAAAGGCTAATTGATCATTAGAAAACCCTTTTGCAATTATGTTAGCACAGCTGAAAACTGTTGTGCTGGTTAAAGAAGCAATAAAACTGGCCTTCTTGAGACTAGTTGAGTATCTGGAGCATCAGCAATTGTGGGTTCGATTACAGGCTCAAAATGGACAGAAACAAAGAACTTTCTAATGAAACTTGATGTTTCACAAAGGTTCTGAACCCTTCTATTCCTATTGTTTCTACAGATTGTAAATTGAAAATAAACATTTTTGCTAAAAGTATTATTATATTATTGATCGATTGACTATGACTTTTCAGATCACCCAGTAGTGATATCTGCAGGGTTAGCTCCAGCTAAATATTGCAATCCTTCAGCCATTCCTGGACCTGTGACCAAAAACAAGCTACAATTGGACAGTACCAAAACAAATGATCTAATGATTCTGTCTCTTCGCAGCAAAATCTGCAGAGCTGGGAAGATTGTATCCCCCATATAAATAACATTCTATTGGTTTCAAGAATTTTGTATAATAATTTAAATTGAAAAATTATAAGTTTTGAATCCAACGTCGTTTTGCGTATCAGTTCATAAACCATTTACCATTTGTCAAAAATGTCTTCCCAACTATTTTGCAATCTATATGGGACGGCTGTCAATCCTTTGGTCCTTAAATGAAACTGGTATGCTTTTTTATTTATCACAACTTTCTTTAACCAATTATGGTCTTTAATGCAGGGCCGACAGACAAGTTCCTTACTTTTTCCCCCTTCCACTTTCCTCTTCCATTTTTGCAGTAATGCTGTAATTATTTGGTTGTAATTTTGGGTAGAGCAGACATTACCATATGTTTTTGTTAGCTGCATGTGCGACATAACTCCACCAGTCCTACCTATGATATCATTTATGAAGATTATACCTTTTTAAAACATTTCTTCAAAACATAATGTTTTTTTTAATCAATTAGTATATTTGAGTTTAACCACAATATTTGTTGCATTATTTGTTCTGTCGTTTCAGTAGGTTTAAATTGAAATTGCAACCAACTTTCTATGGCTTGTTTTAGAAATAGTGATATTTGGGAGATGATTTCCTTTTCAAATAACTGAAAGTGAGAGGTTGTAATCTGAATAAAGGGAAAAAGGCCATTCTTGAACATTGGGTGAGACAATCTTACTAATTTGATAGAGAGCCAGTTCGGATTTAAGTATACATTTTGTATGACTGAAGCTTTTAGTGATAGGTCTAATGCTTTAATATTTAATAATTTCTGTCCTCCGAATTCATATTCATTATATAAATAGGCCCGTTTAATTTTGTGTGGCTTGCCGTTCCAAATGAAATTGAATATTTTTTTAATCTTATAATTTAAAATACTGTTCACTAGGCGTAGGCAAGACCATAAGCAAATAGGTAAACTGGGATAATAGTTGTAGTCCCGTGTAGCTCAGTTGGTAGAGCATGGCGGTTGCAACGCCAGGGTTGTGGGTTCGATTCCCACGGGGGACTAGTATGAAAATGTATGCACTCACTACTGTAAGTCGCTCTGGATAAGAGCGTCTGCTAAATGACTAAAATGTAAATAATACAAAAGAGTTAATCAGGGTGATTTTTCCACAAATAGACAGGTATTTATCTTTCCATGGTAGCAAGATCTTATCTATTTTTGCTAACTTTCTATTAAAATGTATTGGAGTGAGATCATTTATTTATTTTGGGATATGTATTCAGAGTATATCCACATCACCATCAGACCATTTTATTGGTAAACTACACGGTAATGTAAAAATAGTATTTTTTAGTGATCAAATACATAATAGTGAGTGTCCTGAGTGGCGCAGTGGTCTAAGGCACTGCATCGCAGTGCTAACTGTGCCAATAGAGATCCTGGTTCGAATCCAGGCTCTGTCGCAGCCGGCCGCGACCGGGAGACTCATGGGCGGCGCACAATTGGCCCAGCGTTGTCCAGGGTAGGGGAGGGAATGGCCGGCAGGGATGTAGCTCAGTTGATAGAGCATGGCGTTTGCAACGCCAGGGTTGTGGGTTCGATTCCCACGGGGGCCAGTATAAAAAAATATGTATTCACTAACTGTAAGTCGCTCTGGATAAGAGCGTCTGCTAAATGAGTAAAATGTAATATAGTAAATTTTTTATAATTTGGTTGTAATCCAGAGAGGTTAGAAAATGTATCTAGATCCTCTATGAGGCTGTGGCGTACAATGACACCTTTGTTTTTAAGACCTGGATTTCTAATCACTTTATATTATTGTTGGATCTGATTTTAATAGCTAACATTTTGATGCCCATAATAAATAGATATGCCGATAGTGGACAACCTTGTTTTACTCCTCTTGACAGTTTAATACTTTCTGAGAAGTAGACATTATTTACTATTTTACACCTAGGGTTACTATACATGATTTTGACTCCCGAGTGGCGCAGTGGTCTAAGGCACTGCATCGCAGTGCTAGCTGTGCCACTAGAGATCCTGGTTCGAGTCCAGGCTCTATCGCAGCCGGCCCCGATCGGGAGACCCATGGGCGGCGCACAGGGATGTGGGTTCGTTTCCCACGGGGGGCCAGTATAAAAAACAAACAAAAACAACACAAAAGAAACATGTATGCATTCACTAACTGTAAGTCGCTCTGGATAAGAGCGTCTGCTAAATGACTAAAATGTAAATGTAATGATTTTAACCCATTTTATAAGAGATTCTCCAAAATTGAAATTCTCCAGGCATTTATATATAAACTCCAGTCGTACTTTATCAAAAGCCTTTTCAAAGTCTGCTATGAATACCAGGCCTGGTTTCCCAGATTTTTCATAGTGTTCTATTGTTTCTAGTACTTGCCTTATATTATCTCCAATGTATCGTCCATGTAAAAAACCTGTCTGATTAGAATGAATAATGTCCGACAATATCTTTTTAATTCTATGTGCTATACATTTTGTTAGAATTTTTGCATCATAAGATTAGATGTCAAATGTTGATGTTGTGAGAAAAGTGAGCAGACATACTGTTTAGTCTACTGTGTTGATAGTGGGTGTGATATGAGTGGGAAAAGGGTTTAGAGAGACATAGAGAGAGAGAGAGAGAGAGAGAGAGAGAGAGAGAGAGAGAGAGAGAGAGAGAGAGAGAGAGGAGAGAGAGAGAGAGAGAGAGAGAGAGAGAGAGAGAGAGAGAGAGAGAGAGAGAGAGAGAGAGGGAGAGAGAGAGAGAGAGAGAGAGAGAGAGAGAGAGAGAGAGAGATGGAGAGAAAGGAGGAGACAGATCGACAGACAGACACTGAGACAAACTAGAGAGATAGGCACTCACTGGTTCAGCGAAAGCGCAGTCCCAAATGATGGTTGCTAGGGCATTGTTATCCTGACTCCCATGAACTATCACCACCACGGGAACAGAGATCATCTACAATCACACAGAGATCATCTACAATCACACAGAGATCATCTACAATCACACAGAGATTATTTACATGTCAGTACAGCCATACTATTCAATGATCAACACCATATCAGTACAGCCATACTATTAACTGATCAACAAGACAACTGCTCACAGTTTCTATTGATGATCTAAACTATGCTTCTACTGTGTGTCTTGAGATATACGACGTGGCAGATGACAAGTCTGGTTGCATATCTCAGACCTGCTGTGCTATAATACTGCTATTGCCAAGACGTTAACCGATAACAGATGTACTGCCAAGTTACCCAAAAGTGAGGTCTAAGCAGTCATGTCAAAGTTCAAATGACATTGCACAGGCCAAAGGGCGAGACCAGAGAAAGTGTGTAGAAAAAGTCCAATCATTTATTGCCATACCTCACATTGCCATACCTCACACAGTCCCGTGTAGCTCAGTTGGTAGAGCATGGCGCTTGCAACGCCAGGGTTGTGGGTTCATTTCCCACGGGGGACCAGTATGAAAAATGTATGCACTCACTAAGTCGCTCTGGATAAAAGCGTCTGCTAAATGACTAAAATGTAAATGTATTAGTATGTCATTCAAGCTTTGACATGCAGTTTTGATTTGGCTGTACTGAAAAGGAGGGGGAAGGAGAGCTGACCTGTATTCTGTAGGGAGTGTCACAGCCAGTGATGCTGATCTCTGTGGTGAAGAAGAGAGCAAACTTCTCCTCTGTCACAGACTCCGACCCCTTTCTGTCTGCTCTCTTGATCTTCTTTATAGACTGGAGGAAACAACAGAACAAGATAGATGACTTTATGAAGACTATAGACTGGATGAAACGACCGAACAAGATAGATTACTTTATGAAGACTATAGACTGGAGGAAACAACAGAACAAGATAGATGACTCTATGAAGACTATAGACTGGCGGAAACGACATAACAAGATAGAGGAAATGGCAGAACAAGATAGATGACTTTATGAAGACTATACACTGGAGGAAATGACAGAACAAGATTGATGACTTTATGAAGACTATAAGACAGGAGGAAACGACAGAACAAGATAGATGACTTTATTATGTTTTTTTAGTTTTTTTACATCACAAATTCATAATTGTACATATGAATTGGAATTCCTTTATTCTTACATTTCCTTATGACATCTGAAAATTCATGGAAGGATTTACAGAAGGACATCTCCAAATCTGGTTGATTAAAAAACCATCCAGGCACATATGACATTACAGGAACCTGACAGACAGTGCATGGTTAAGAGCCTGGTTTCAGTACATACCATATTCCGGAAGGTGGCACATGTGCTCTTGCTGGAGGTGTGTTCCAAAATGGCTGTGTTATTGATCAACTCGCCAACATTCTCACTGGAATAGTCAGAACAAAAAACACTTTTTTTAAAACAGACTTGAATATGACTTCTTAAAGGCCTACAGTTGTATGGTGAGTGATATCAGTGTCTGTTGTACATTAGGCCTACTGCTCTCTGTACAACTATAGACAGCCAGCAAGGAAGTTGCTCACAGAAATGTGCTAATCAGATCTTCTTTGGCCATCTTATGAACATGGGTTTACCATCTAGGACAGGGGTGTCAAACGTCCGGCCCACGGGCCGGATCAGGCCCGCAAACGGGTTTAATCCGGCCCGCGAGATGATAAAAAATAAATAAAAAATAATAATATTAATCATAATTTTGTAAAGTATAAAAATGCGCTGCAATTTTTCAATAAAATAAACTGCTGTTCCAATTGCGTCCACTGGATGGCGCAATAGCAATTGTGTTAAGCAAGCAAACTGTTTATACCGGGGCAGAGCAAGTAGGTCAAGCACGTGCAGCCAATGAGCTACTTTGTTTTGCCCGCGATATTTATTACGGCTTCTACTTTGAACATTATGTGCTTTGGCACCCTCATTGCCCCAATATGTCTCTGTCAAAAAAGAGAAAAGTGGACGCAGAGTGCAGAGTGTTCCAAGAAAAATTGTCATCCTATTTATGCTGAAAGAATATAACCTTCGTCGCCACTATGTGAGTCTTCATGCCGACAAATATGACAACTTTCAAGGACAGCGGAGATGAGAGAAGGTGAATGAACTGTTGGCGGGTCTGAAGAAACAGCAGTCTGTGTTTACTCACAGCCGAGACATCAGTGACGCTGCAGTGAAAGCTAGCTACCTCATTGCTAATGAAATCGCAGTGGCTTCAAAACCATTTAGTGAGGGTGAATTTGTAAAAACATGCATGATGAAGGCAGCGGAGATTGTGTGCCCTGAAAAGCGGCAGGCTTTTGCAAATATCAGCCTGACAAGAAACACAGTTGCAGACAGGATTTCCGATCTTTCAGTGGATTTGGACAGCCAAGTGAAGCAAAAAGTAAAGTCATTTATTGCGTTTTCGGTTGCAATTGATGAAAGCACGGACATTACAGATGTTGCACAACTGGCCATTTTCATCCGCGGAGTTGATGACACATTGACCGTCACCGAGGAGTTCGTGGAGTTGGTGCCGATGACAGATACAACGACAGCAGCTGATATTTTTACTGCACTCGTCGGCGCGCTGGACAGGGTCGGAGTGGACTGGTCCCACGCTGTCAGCCTGGCTACAGATGGTGTGCCCTCAATGATCGGGAAAAAAGCAGGCGTTGTGACAAAGTTCAGAGAGAAAGTGCAATCTGCAAATGGAGGACGTGATTTTTTGACTTTTCACTGTATTTTGCACCAGGAGGCTTTGTGTTGCAAGTCATTAAAGATGGATAACGTCATGAAGGTGGTCATCCAAACTGTTAATTTCATCCGATCCAGAAGCCTGAATCACCGTCAGTTTGACAGCCTTCTCAGACAGAAAGACCACATCTATGGCCTGCCATACCACACTGAGGTAAGATGGTTAAGCCGAGGTGCTGTGCTGAGGCGTTTCTTTGATTTACGAGAAGAAATTGAACAGTTCATGGAAGAAAAGGGCAAACCAGTGTTAGAATTTCATTCCGCAGAATGGATGCAGGACCTTGCATTTATGGTGGATGTTACAGAGCACCTGAATAACTTGAACAAACAGCTGCAAGGGCGCAACAAAGTTGTCACGCAGTATTATGACAGCATACGTTCTTTCAAGTTGAAGCTGTCATTGTGGGAGACGCAACTTGCCGGTGGTGATGCAGCTCACTTCCCCTGTCTGAAAAATGTGTGCGCGACCCAACATGTGGCAGACATGAAGCGGTTCAAAGATAAAATAACGGGACTGTTACGGGAGTTTGAGCAACGCTTTCAGATTTATGTTTATATGTTTTTATGTTGATGTGCTATTGTTTTTAATTGATTTTATTTTATTTGTATATTTAACCTATTCTTGACTCTGTGGTTCTTGCACTTGTTTGGGGAACAGGATTTCATTATTTTTATCTACATTTCTGCCTGAGAAATGACACCCTGATATAGTTCTGTGATCTGTGAAACAGTTCTGTTAATCACTGAGGCATTGTGTGTTCTTTGTCCTCAGAACTTTCAAATAACTTGAGGTGTTTTATGATTAATAGTGATGTTGTGCTTTTGGACACTGTCCTCAGGCTCCAGCTTTATGTTTATATGTTTTTATGTTGATGTGCTATTGTTTTTAATTGATTTTATTTTATTTGTATATTTAACCTATTCTTGACTCTGTGGTTCTTGCACTTGTTTGGGGAACAGGATTTCATAATTTTTATCTACATTTCTGCCTGAGAAATGACACCCTGATATAGTTCTGTGATCTGTGAAACAGTTCTGTTAATCACTGAGGCATTGTGTGTTTGTGTGTTCTTTTTCTTTAGAATTTTCAAATAAACTTGACGTGTTTTATGATTAATAGTGATGTTGTGCTTGTACTATTTTGGACACACTGTCCTCAGGCTCCAGCTTTATGTTGTATGTTGATCGTATTAAAACAAAGAAAACAATCTGAAGTTGTTGTTTTTAAGTTATATATACCATGATTTTTCCGGTCCGGCCCACTTGGGAATAGATTTTCCTCCATGTGGCCCCTGAGCTAAAATGACCCCTGATCTAGGACTACGGTAATGTCTTGAGTATGGACATTTGTATGCATTTTATCTAAGGCTGCGTTTACACAGCCAGACCAATTCTGATATTGTTTTCACTAATTGGTCTTTTGACATCTTCTTCAGAGCTGATCTGATTGGTCAAAAGACCAATTAGTGAAAAAAAATATCAAAATTGGGCTGCTTGTCTAAACGCAGCGTAAGTGACTGAGTGGGCTACAAGTATTAGGGTAGTCCAAATGCTAGCAGTCATATGTAAACAAAGCGATAGCCTTACATTAGTTTGAGGAAGCTAACCCTCTAAATCCAAAATTCCCCCTGGTGATAACTGATGTAAGACATTTTGCACATTTTCCAGGAGCAGTAACGGACCAATTCACCTGTATAGTTTTTCTCTAGCTTCTGTTCACAAACAATGTCATGGCATTCCTTGGTCCAGGACGATAATACTTCATGTCCCATAGTTCAGCAAGACAGTAGCGATTGCTAACCTAACCCTCCATTCACCACAGTGTTTATTAACCTTTGGTTTGTTGATGGAAACTGTCCTCACCATCACAGAAGGGAGGACCATGACGTGCTGGTCGGCAGGTAGCATAGCGGTTAAGATCGTTGGGTCAGTAACCGAAAGGTCGCTGGTTCAAATCCCCGAGCCAACTAGGTGAAAAATCTGTCTATGTGCCCTTGAGCACCTTAACCCTAATTGCTCCTGTAAATCACTCTGGATAAGAGCGTCTGCTAAATGACTAAAATGTAAATGGTCCGCAACACAAGAAAGACTGTAGCATGCCTGTCCCTTGTACAAAAGAGTTTGAGAAGCGCTCCGTTACATCACTGACCTGGGTACGGTGCCTAGCTGTCTGAGGTTTCTAGCCTGGGCCTCTGTGATGATCTGAGCCTTGATGAGGACTGGTTTCCCGGGTGCCACCTTATCCCCCAGCAGGTAGCGCACCGTTGTGGAGAACTTAGACTGGGTCTTAATCACCTGGGGAGGCTGCTTGTCTACCATCAGGGAGCTGCAACCGTAAAAATAAAATTACTAGAACAATCAATGGTTCTGTGATGGGTGGACTGGCAGCCACATTGTCCCCCATCAGAGTGCTGAAACCATAGAAATAGAATTACTAGAACGATCAATGGGTCTTTGATGGGTGGACTGGCAGCAATATTGTCTCCCAGAGAGCTGCAACAGGAGAGGAAACATGACTTAGTACTAGTGAGTCATTAAATGCTGGTATGTCCGCACTACTTAAGGTTTCTATGGTAATGGAGTGCTTGTCTGTGTAAACATGGTCGATTCTAAGTGTTCCTAAAAAGGAACATAACACCCAAACGTGACCGTAACAATGACAACAACAATATAACTCAGACATAACGCTAGGTGTTAGAGAGGCCCCTCCCACTGGGCACAAACTGGTTGAATCAACGTTGTTTCCAAGTCATTAAAACAAATCTGTAATGATGATGTTGAATCAACGTGGAAAACTGATTGGATTCGCAAAACGTCATCAATGTAAAGGAATTCCGGGAATGTTTCTCATTTTTCACCCAAATCTAACTTAAATCCGATGACATGGTTCAAATGTTTGTTGATTTCACATTGAATTCACGTTAGTTGACAACTCAATCAAATGTAAATCAAAACTAGACGTTGAACTGATGTCTCTGTCCAGTGGGCTGTCTGACAGGAATGTCATAAGAGTCCGTGACTGAAGTTGATTCCCAGAAGGGAGTACAAACACATTTTGTTTTGTTTTCAAACTGAAGACATTTCAATGAAGGCAAATTCATTTTCTAAAACATAATCCCACTAAATTAACAAATTAGATCACTATCCAACATATCAAGAAAACACAAAACTGTGTTTTAATAAGCCTACAATTTGGGTTGAAAGAACAGCCAATGAGGGATAACTTCAGTGTCACTGACTAAGATAAGATAAGCTTTTCTTGTCTGGTTCCACATATTTGATTAGCATCTTTAGAACACACTACAGGACATACAATACAACATAGAACATAGGGAACATATAAAGGACAGGGGACTATAAAAGTGATTGAGATCATTGAACTAATAGTATTCCCTATACTGTTTACTAAAAGTGCTGTAATTACTAAACGGTTCACCCGATATGGATGAAATTACCCTCAAATTAAAGCTGACAGTCTGCACTTTAACCTCATAGTCATTGTATCATTTCATCAGAGCCAAAACAACAACAAAAATGGTCACTGTCCCGATACTTTTGGGGCTCACTGTGGTACTGGGTCCTGGTCAAAAGTAGTACATTATTATAGGGAATCAGGTGTAATTTGGGACACAGCCTACCTCTGGATTATAGTTTGCAGCAGAAGTCTCAGTCTTTCTTGCAAATCTGGGATTGGCTCCCCAGCCAGCATCACTTCCTGTCTCAACTTCCCGTTCACCCCCAGGAGTTGCTCACACCTCGAAGAGGAAGGGAGAGGGCGTTAAATTAGTCAATGGTAGGCTTCAAGGAGACTCCTATGGAAGGTACACTTACAGCTCATCCCTTGGCAGTAGTACTGTAGATTACTTTATCACTGACCTCAACCCAGAGTCTCTCAGAGCATTCACAGTCAGCCCACTAACACCCCGATCAGATCACAGCAAAATCACAGTCTACTTGAACAGAGCAATACTCAAATCATGACGCATCAAAGCCAAAGGAACTGCACAATATTAAGAGATGCTATAGATGGAAGGAAAGTAGTGTAGAAACCTACAAAAAAAACAATTAGGCAACAACAAATTCAATCCTTTTTAGACAACTTCCTGGACAAAACATTTCACTGTAATAGTGAAGGTGTAAACTTGGCAGTAGAAAGCCTAAACCAGGGGTGTCAAACTAATTTTAGCTCAGGGGCCACATGGAGGAAAATCTATTCCCAAGTGGGCCGGACCGGAAAAATCATGGTATATATAACTTATAAACAACAACTTCAGATTGTTTTCTTTGTTTTAATACGATCAACATACAACATAAAGCTGGAGCCTGAGGACAGTGTGTCCAAAATAGTACAAGCACAACATCACTATTAATCATAAAACACGTCAAGTTTATTTGAAAATTCTAAAGAAAAAGAACACACAAACACACAATGCCTCAGTGATTAACAGAACTGTTTCACAGATCACAGAACTATATCAGGGTGTCATTTCTCAGGCAGAAATGTAGATATCACAGATCACAGAACTATATCAGGGTGTCATTTCTCAGGCAGAAATGTAGATAAAAATTATGAAATCCTGTTCCCCAAACAAGTGCAAGAACCACAGAGTCAAGAATAGGTTAAATATACAAATAAAATAAAATCAATTAAAAACAATAGCACATCAACATAAAAACATATAAACATAAAGCTGGAGCCTGAGGACAGTGTCCAAAAGCACAACATCACTATTAATCATAAAACACCTCAAGTTATTTGAAAGTTCTGAGGACAAAGAACACACAATGCCTCAGTGATTAACAGAACTGTTTCACAGATCACAGAACTATATCAGGGTGTCATTTCTCAGGCAGAAATGTAGATAAAAATAATGAAATCCTGTTCCCCAAACAAGTGCAAGAACCACAGAGTCAAGAATAGGTTAAATATACAAATAAAATAAAATCAATTAAAAACAATAGCACATCAACATAAAAACATATAAACATAAAGCTGGAGCCTGAGGACAGTGTCCAAAAGCACAACATCACTATTAATCATAAAACACCTCAAGTTATTTGAAAGTTCTGAGGACAAAGAACACACAAACACACAATGCCTCAGTGATTCACAGAAGTATATCACAGATCACAGAACTATATCAGGGTGTCATTTCTCGGGCAGAAATGTAGATAAAAATAATGAAATCCTGTTCCCCAAACAAGTGCAAGAACCACAGAGTCAAGAATAGGTTAAATATACAAATAAAATAAAATCAATTAAAAACAATAGCACATCAACATAAAAACATATAAACATAAATCTGAAAGCGTTGCTCAAACTCCCGTAACAGTCCCGTTATTTTATCTTTGAACCGCTTCATGTCTGCCACATGTTGGGTCGCGCACACATTTTTCAGACAGGGGAAGTGAGCTGCATCACCACCGGCAAGTTGCGTCTCCCACAATGACAGCTTCAACTTGAAAGAACGTATGCTGTCATAATACTGCGTGACAACTTTGTTGCGCCCTTGCAGCTGTTTGTTCAAGTTATTCAGGTGCTCTGTAACATCCACCATAAATGCAAGGTCCTGCATCCATTCTGCGGAATGAAATTCTAACACTGGTTTGCCCTTTTCTTCCATGAACTGTTCAATTTCTTCTCGTAAATCAAAGAAACGCCTCAGCACAGCACCTCGGCTTAACCATCTTACCTCAGTGTGGTATGGCAGGCCATAGATGTGGTCTTTCTCTCTGAGAAGGCTGTCAAACTGACGGTGATTCAGCCTTCATGACGTTATCCATCTTTAATGACTTGCAACACAAAGCCTCCTGGTGCAAAATACAGTGAAAAGTCAAAAAATCACGTCCTCCATTTGCAGATTGCACTTTCTCTCTGAACTTTGTCACAACGCCTGCTTTTTTCCCGATCATTGAGGGCGCACCATCTGTAGCCAGGCTGACAGCACGGGACCAGTCCACTCCGACCCTGTCCAGCGCGCCGACGAGTGCGGTAAAAATATCAGCTGCTGTCGTTGTATCTGTCATCGGCACCAACTCCACGAACTCCTCGGTGACGGTCAATGTGTCATCAACTCCGCGGATGAAAATGGCCAGTTGTGCAACATCTGTAATGTCCGTGCTTTCATCAATTGCAACCGAAAACGCAATAAATGACTTTACTTTTTGCTTCAACTGGCTGTCCAAATCCACTGAAAGATCGGAAATCCTGTCTGCAACTGTGTTTCTTGTCAGGCTGATATTTGCAAAAGCCTGCCGCTTTTCAGGGCACACAATCTCCGCTGCCTTCATCATGCATGTTTTTACAAATTCACCCTCACTAAATGGTTTTGAAGCCACTGCGATTTCATTAGCAATGAGGTAGCTAGCTTTCACTGCAGCGTCACTGATGTCTCGGCTGTGAGTAAACACAGACTGCTGTTTCTTCAGACCCGCCAACAGTTCATTCACCTTCTCTCATCTCCGCTGTCCTTGAAAGTTGTCATATTTGTCGGCATGAAGACTCACATAGTGGCGACGAAGGTTATATTCTTTCAGCACTGCAACATGCTCTGAACACACCAAACATACAGCTTTCCCATTCAATTCTGTGAATAAATAGGATGACCATTTTTCTTGGAACACTCTGCGTCCACTTTTCTCTTTTTTGACAGAGACATATTGGGGCAATGAGGGTGCCAAAGCACATAATGTTAAAAGTAGAAGCCGTAATAAATATCGCGGGCAAAACAAAGTAGCTCATTGGCTGCACGTGCTTGACCTACTTGCTCTGCCCCGGTATAAACAGTTTGCTTGCTTAACACAATTGCTATTGCGCCATCCAGTGGACGCAATTGGAACAGCAGTTTATTTTTTTCAAAATCATCTCGCGGGCCGGATTAAACCCGTTTGCGGGCCTGATCCGGCCGGACGTTTGACACCCCTGGCCTAAACAGTATATTTGACCTTTCAGCTTCCCTATCAAATATGCAGACAACCTAAGAAAGAAATTGAGAAACCTTTCCAACCAAAAACAAAAAGACCCAGAAAATCTGAGTGTACGCCTTCACTATGGTGAATCACTAAAATCACTAAAACAATACAGAAATACACTACGGAAAAAGAAGGAACAACAGGTCGGATATCAGCTCAATGTAATTGAAGAATCCATAGACTCTAACCACTTCTGGGAAAATTGGAACACACTAAACAAACAACAACACGAAAAGTTATCTATCCAAAATGGAGATGTATGGATAAAACACTTCTCCAATCTTTTTGACTCTATAACAAAGAACAAACAGCAAAAACATATACATGATCAAATACAAATCTTAGAATCAACTATTCAAGATTATTAAATCACTGCTAGGCAAATCCCCGTCTTATCTAAACTCACTGGTCACCATAGCAACACCCACCCGTAGTCTGCGCTCCAGCAGGTATATCTCACTGGTCATCCCCAAAGCAAACACCTCCTTTGGCCGCCATTCCTTCCAGTTCTCTGATGCCAATGACTGGAACGAACTGCAAAAATCTCTGAAGCTAGAGACTCTTATCTCCCTCACTAACTTTAAGCATCAGTTGTCAGAGCAGCTTACCAATCACTGCACCTGTACACAGCCATTCTGAAATTAGCCCACCCAACTACCTCATCCCCATACTGTTATTTATTTTGCTAATTTGCACCCCAGTATCTCTATTTGCACATCATCTTTTGCACATCTATCATTCCAGTGTTAATACGAAATTGTAACTATTTTGCACTATGACCTATTTATTGCCTTACCTCCATAACTTACTACATTCGCACACACTGTATATATATTTTCTGTTGTATTTTTGACTTTATGTTTTGTTTACCCCATATGTAACTCTGTGCTGTTGTTTTTATCGCACTGCTTTGCTTTATCTTGGCCAGGTAGCAGTTGTAAATGAGAACTTGTTCTCAACTGGCTTACCTGGTTAAATAAAGGTGAAATAAAATAAGAAAAATATTTTTTTTAAACTACCAGAACCCACTGGATTCTCCAATTACATTGAATGAACTACAGGACAAAATACAAACCCTCCAACCCAAAAAGGCCTGTGGTCTTGATGGTATCCTAAATGAAATGATAAAATATACAGACCACAAATTTCAATTGGCTATACTTAAACTCTTTAACATCATCCTCAGCTCTGGCATCTTCCCCATTTGGAACCAATGACCACCCCAATCCACAAAAGTGGAGACAAATTTGACCCCAATAACTACCATGGGATACGCGTCAACAGCAACCTTGGGAAAATCATCTGCATTATCATTAACAGCAGACTTCTACATTTCCTCAGTGAAAACAATGTACTGAGCAAATGTCAAATTGGCTTTTTACCAAATTACCGTAAGACAGACCACGTATTCACCCTGCACACCCTAATTGACCAACAAACAAAACAAAACAAAAACAAGTCTTGTCATGCTTTGTTGATTTCAAAAAAGCTTTTGACTCAATTTGGCATGAGGGTCTGCTATACAAATTGATGGAAAGAGGTGTTGGGGGAAAAACATACAAAATTATAAAATCCATGTACACAAACAACAAGTGTGCAGTTAAAATTGGCAAAATAAAAAACATTTCTTTCCAAAGGGCCATGGGGTGAGACAGGGATGCAGCTTAAGCCCCACCCTCTTGTACAGTGCATTCGGAAAGTATTCAGACGCCTTGACTTTTTCCACATTTTGTTACATTACAACCTTATTCTAAAATTGATTAAATTGTTTTTTCCCCCCACATCAATCTACCCACAATACCCCATAATGACAAAGCAAAAATAGTTTGCTAGACATTTTTGCAAATGTATTTAAAATAGAACACTGAAATATTACATTACCATAAGTATTCAGACCCTTTACTCAGTACTTTGGTTAAGCACCTTTAGCAGCGATTACAGACTCGAGTCTTCTTGGGTATGACGCTAAAAGCTTGCCACACCTGTATTTGGGGAGTTTCTCCCATTCTTCTCTGCAGATCCTCTCAAGCTGTCAGGTTGGATGGGGAGCACAGCTATTTTCAGGTCTCTCCAGAAATATTCGATTGCGTTCAAGTCCGGGCTCTGGCTGGGCCACTCAAAGACATTCAGAGACTTGTCCCGAAGCCACTCCTGTGTTATCTTGGCTGTGTGCTTAGGGTCGTTGTCCTGTTGGAAGGTGAACCTTCACCACAATCTGAGGTTCTGAGCGCTCTGGAGCAGGTTTTCATCAAGGATCTCTCTGTACTTTGCTCCGTTCATCTTTCCCATAATCCTGACTAGTCTCCCAGAGTCCTTTAGGTGCCTTTTGGCAAACTCCAAGCGGGCTGTGATGTGCCTTTTACTGAGGAGTGGCTTCCGTCTGGCCACTCTACCATAAAGGCCTGATTGGTGGAGTGCTGCAGAAATGGTTGTCCTTCTGGAAGGGTCTCCCATCTCCACAGAGGAACTCTGGAGCTCTGCCAGCGCGACCATCGGGTTCTTGGTCACCTTCCTGACCAAGGCCCTTCTCCCCCGATTGCTAAGTTTGGCCAGGCGGCCAGCTCTAGGAAGAATCTTGGTGGTTCCAAACTTCTTTCATTTAAGAATGATGGAGGCCACTGAGTTCTTGGGGACCGTCAATGCTGTAAATAATTTTTGATACCCTTCCCCAGATCTGTGCCTCGACACATTCCTGTCTCTGAGCTCTACGGACAATTCCTTTGACCTCACGGCTTGGTTTTTTCTCTGACATGCACTGTCAACTGTGGGACCTTATACAGTGAGGGAAAAAAGTATTTGATCCCCTGCTGATTTTGTACGTTTGCCCTCTGACAAAGAAATGATCAGTCTATATTTTTAATGGTATGTTTATATGAACAGTGAGAGACTGAATAACAACAAATAAATCCAGAAAAACGCATTTCAAAAATGTTATAAATTGATTTGCATTTTAAAGAGCTCTCCAAGGATGTCAGGGACAAGATTGTAGACCTACACAAGGCTGGAATGGGCTACAAGACCATCGGCAAGCAGCTTGGTGAGAAGGTGACAACAGTTGGTGCGATTATTCGCAAATGAAAGAAACACAAAATAACTGTCAATCTCCCTCGGCCTGGGGCTCCATGCAAGATCTCACCTCTTGGAGTTGCAATGATCATGAGAACAGTGAGGAATCAGCCCAGAACTACACGGGAGGATCTTGTCAATGATCTCAAGGCAGCTGGGACCATAGTCACCAAGAAAACAATTGGTAACACAGTACGCCGTGAAGGACTGAAATCCTGCAGCGCCCGCAAGGTCCCCCTTCTCAAGAAAGCACATATACAGGGCCGTCTGAAGTTTGCCAATGAACATCTGAATGATTCAGAGGAGAACTGCGTGAAAGTGTTGTGGTCAGATGAGACCAAAATCGAGCTCTTTGGCATCAACTCAACTCACCGTGTTTGGAGGAGGACGAATGCTGCCTATGACCCCAAGAACACCATCCCCACCATCAAACATGGAGGTGGAAACATTATGCTTTGGGGGTGTTTTTCTGCTAAGGGGACAGGACAACTTCACCGCATCAAAGGGACGATGGATGGGGCCATGTACCGTCAAATCTTGGGTGAGAACCTCCTTCCCTCAGCCAGGGCATTGAAAATGGGTCGTGGATGGGTATTCCAGCATGGCAATGACCCAAAACACACGGCCAAGGCAACAAAGGAGTGGCTCAAGAAGAAGCACATTAAGGTCCTGGAGTGGCCTAGCCAGTCTCCAGACCTTAATCCCATAGAAAATCTGTGGAGGGAGCTGAAGGTTCGAGTTGCCAAACGTCAGCCTCGAAACCTTAATGACTTGGAGAAGATCTGCAAAGAGGAGTGGAACAAAATCCCTCCTGAGATGTGTGCAAACCTGGTGGCCAACTACAAGAAACGTCTGACCTCTGTGATTGCCAACAAGGGTTTTGCCACCAAGAACTAAGTCATGTTTTGCAGAGGGGTCAAATACTTATTTCCCTCATTAAAATGCAAATCAATTTATAACATTTTTGACATGCATTTATCTGGATTTGTTTTGTTGTTATTCTGTCTCTCACTGTTTAAATAAACCTACCATTAAAATTATAGACTGATCATGTCTTTGTCACGTCTTTGGCAAACGTACAAAATCAGCTGGGGATCAAATACTTTTTTCCCTCACTGCATAGACAGGTATGTGCCTTTCCAAATCATGTCCAATCAATTGAATTTACCACAGGTGGACTCCAATCAGTTGTAGAAACATCTCAAGGATGATCAATGGAAACAGGATGCACTTGAGCTCAATTTCGAGTCTCATAGCAAAGGGACTGAATACTAAGGCATTTCGGTTTTTTATTTTTAATACATTTGCCAAACATTTCTAAAAACCTGTTTTTGCTTTGTCATTATGGGGTATTGTGTGTAGATTGATGAGGAAAACAATTAATGTAATCATTTTTAGAATAAGGCTGTAATGTAATAAAATGTTGAAAAAGTCAAGGGGTCTGAATACTTTCCGAATGCACTGTATCAACGAATTGGCGACGGCACTAGAACCATCTGCAGCACCTGCATCACCCTACTAGAATCTGAAGTCAAATGTCTACTGTTTGCTGATGATCTGGTGCTTCTGTCCCCAACCAAGGAGAGCCTACAGCAGCACCTAGATCTTCTGCACAAATTATTTCAGACCTGGGCCCTGACACTAAATCTCAGTAAGATAAAAATAATGGTGTTCCAAAAAAAGTCCAGTTGCCAGGACCACGAATACAAATTCCATCTAGACACCGTTGCCCTAGAGCACACAAAAAACTATACCTACCTCGGCCTAAACATCAGCACCACAGGTAACTTCCATAAAACTGTGAACGACCTGAGAGACAAGGCAAGAAGGGCCTTCTACGCCATCAGAAGGAACATCAAATTCGACATCCCAATTAGGCAAAACATACTTGAATCAGTTATAGAACCAATTGCCCTTTATAGTTGTGAGGTCTGGGGTCCGCTCACCATCCAATAATTCACAAAATGGGACAAACACCAAATTGAGACTCTGCATGCAGAATTTTGCAAAAACATCCTCCGTGTACAATGTAAAACACCAAATAATGTATGCAGAGCAGAATTAGGCCGATAACCGCTAATTATCCAAATCCAGAAAAGAGCCGTTACAACCACCTAAAAGGAAGCGATTCCCAAACATAAACAGAGAGTATACAGTTGCAGAATACCTGACCACTGTGACTGACCCAAAATTAAGGAAAGCTTTGACTATGTACAGTGAGTATGGCCTTGCTATTGAGATAGGCCGCCGTAGGCCGACCTGGCTCTCAAGAGAAGACAGGCTTTGTGCACACTGCCCACAAAATGAGGTGGAAACTGAGCTGCACTTCCTAACCTCCTGCCAAATGTATGACCATTTAGAGACACATATTTGCCTTAGATTACACAGACCCACAAGAATTCCAAAATAAATCCACATTTGATAAACTCCCATATATATATTGGGTGAAATACCACAGTGTGCCATCACAGCAGCAAGATGTGTGACCTGTTGCCACAAGAAAATGGCAACCAGTGAAGAACAAACACCATTGTAAATACAACCCATATTTATGTTTATATATTTTCCCTTTTGTACTTTAACTATTTGCACATCATTATAAGACTGTACATACAGTGTCTTGCAAAAGTATTAATCCCCTTTGGCGTTTTTCCTATTTTGTTGCATTACAAACTGTAATTTAAATTGATTTTTATTTGGATATCATGTAATGGACATACACAAACTAGTCCAAATTGGTGAAGTGGAATGAAAAAAATAACTGGTGCAACCAATTACCTTCAGAAGTCACATAATTAGTTAAATAAAGTCCACCTGTGTGCAATCTAAGTGTCACATGATCTGTCACATGATCTCAGTATATATACACCTGTTCTGAAAGGCCCCAGAGTCTGCAACACCACTAAGCAAGGGGCACCACCAAGCAAGCGGCACCATGAAGACCAATGAGCTCTCCAAACAGGTCAGGGACAAAGTTGTGGAGAAGTACAGATCAGGGTTAGGTTATAAAAAAATATCGGAAACTTTGAATATCCCACGGAGCACCATTAAATCCATTATAAAAAAATGGAAAGAATATGGCACCACAACAAACCTGCCAAGAGAGGGCCGCCCACCAAAACTCACGGACCAGGCAAGGAGGGCATTAATCAAAGAGGCAACAAAGAGACCAAAGATAACCCTGAAAGAGCTGCAAAGCTCCACAGCGGAGATTGGAGTATCTGTCCATAGGACCACTTTAAGCCGTACACTCCACAGAGCTGGGCTTTACGGAAGAGTGGCCAGAAAAAAGCCATTGCTTAAAGAAAAAAATAAGCAAACACGTTTGGTGTTCGCCAAAAGGCATGTGGGAGACTCCCCAAACATATGGAAGAAGGTACTCTGGTCAGATGTGACTAAAATTGAGCTTATTGGCTATCAAGGAAAACGCTATATCTGGCGCAAACCCAACACCTCTCATCACCACGAGAACGCCATCCCCACAGTGAAGCATGGTGGTGGCAGCATCATGCTGTGGGGATGTTTTTCATCGGCAGAGACTGGAAAAACTGGTCAGAATTGAAGGAATGATGGATGGCGCTAAATACAGGGAAATTCTTGAGGGAAGCCTGTTTCAGTCTTCCAGAGATTTGAGACTGGGACGGAGGTTCACCTTCCAACAGGACAATGACCCTAAGCATACTGCTAAAGCAACACTTGAGTGGTTTAAGGGGAAACATTTAAATGTCTTGGAATGGCCTAGTCAAAGCCCAGACCTCAATCCAATTGAGAATCTGTGGTATGACTTAAAGATTGCTGTACACCAGAGGAACCCATCCAACTTGAAGGAGCTGGAGCAGTTTTGCCTTGAAGAATGGGCAAAGATCCCAGTGGCTAGATGTGCCAAGCTTATAGAGACATACCCCAAGAGACTTGCAGTTGTAATTGCTGCAAAAGGTGGCTCTACAAAGTATTGACTTTTGAGGGGGGTGAATAGTTATGCCCGCTCAAGTTCTTTTTTTTTGTCTTATTTGTTTGTTTCACCCCAAAAATATTTTGCATTTTCAAATTGGTAGGCATGTTGTGTAAATCAAATGATACAAACCCACAAAAAATCCATTTTAATTCCAGGTTGTAAGGCAACAAAATAGGAAAAATGCCAAGGGGGGTGAATACATTCGCAAGCCACTGTAGCCTTAATATGACATTTGAAATGTGTCTATTCCTTTGAAACTTGTGAGTGATGTTTACTCTTCATTTTTGATTGATTATTTCACTTTTGTTTATTATCTATTTCACTTGCTTTGGCAATGTAAACCTGTTTCCCATGCCAATAAATCCCTTTGAATTGAATTGAGATGGGTAGGTAGAGAGAGAGGAGGGAAAGATGGAGAGAGAGAGGGAGGGAGGGAGGGAGTGAGAGAGAGGGAGGTGGAGGATGGGGGGGGATAAATGTCAGAAGGTATGTTCACACTTCAAATCATACATCTGCAAACATTGACAAATATTTATGTGTGTCATAGTCCCGTGTAGCTCAGTTGGTAGAGCATGGCGCTTGCAACGCCAAGGTTGTGGGTTCGATTCCCACGGGGGGCCAGTATGAAAAAAATTATGATTTATGCACTTACTAACTGTAAGTCGCTCTGGATAAGAGCGTCTGCTAAATGATTAAAATGTAAATGTATAAGTGATAGGACAAACCAGTCATTCACAATTAACCTTTACAGACAGTTTGCAAAGGCTCTAATATGCAAACACGATACGGGTGGACTGAGCATTTGCTTAAACAATCTGAAACTTAAGTCTTCATTTGTATGTGTTTACCCTTTGGCTTTAGCTTTAAAATACCAGGACATAATACCAGGACATACTGTAATACCAGGACACAATACCAGGACATAATACCAGGATATATCAGGACATAATGCCAGGACATAACACCAGGACATAATATCAGGACATACTGTAATACCAGGACATAATACCAGGATATATCAGGACATAATGCCAGGACATAATACCAGGACATACTGTAATACCTGGACATAATACCAGGTCATAATACCAGGACATAAGACCAGGACATAATACCAGGACATAATACCAGGAAGTAATACCAGGACGTAAAATACCAGGACATAAAATACCAGGACGTAATACCAGGACATATTACCAGGACATAATACCAGGACATAATGTAATACCAGGACATATCAGGCCATAATACCAGGTCATAATACTAGGACATAATACCAGGACTTAATATCAGGACATAATACCAGGAATTAATATCAGGACATAATACCAGGACATAATATCAGGACATACTGTAATACCAGGACATAATACCAGGAAAAAATCCCAGGTCATAATACCAGGATGTAATACCAGGTCATAATACCAGGTCATAATACCAAGAGATAAAACCAGGACATAAAACCCGGACATAATACTAGATCACAATACTAGGACATAATACCAGGACGTAATACCAGGACATAATACCAGGACATATCAGGACACAATACCAGGACATACTGTAATACCAGGACATAATACCAGGACAATACCAGGACATAATCCTAGGACATAATACCAGGACATATCAGGCCATAATATCAGGTCATAATACCTGGACATAATACCAGGTCATAATACTAGGCCATAATACCAGGACATAATACCAGGACATATCAGGACATAATACCAGGACATAATATTAAGACATAACACCAGGACATAATACCAGGCCATAACATCAGGACATAATATCAGGACATAATGCCAGGACATAATACCAGGACATACTGTAATACCAGGTCATAATACCAGGACGTAATACCAGGTCATAATACCAGGTCATAATACCAGGACATAATACCTGGACATAATACCAGGTCATAATACCAGGACGTAATACCAGGTCATAATACCAGGACATAATACTCGGACATAATACCAGGTCATAATACTAGGACATAATACCAGGAGGTAAAACACCAGGATGTAATACCAGGACATAAGACCAGGACATACTGTAATACCAGGACATAATACCAGGACATAATACCAGGTCATAATAGCAGGACGTAATCCCAGGTCATAATACCAGGACATAAAACCAGGACATAAAACCAGGACATAATACCAGGTCATAATACTAGGACATAATACCAGGACGTAATACCAGGACACAATACCAGGACATAAAACCAGGACATACTGTAATACCTGGACACAATACCAGTACATATCAGGACATAATGCCAGGACATAATACCAGGACATACTGTAATACCAGGACATAATACCAGGTCATAATACCAGGAGGTAATCCCAGGTCATAATACCAGGACATAAAACCAGGACATAATACCAGGACGTAATACCAGGAAGTAATACCAGGACATAAAACACCAGGACGTAATACCAGGACATAAGACCAGGACATAATAACAGGACATATCAGGACATAATACCAGGACATATCAGGACACAATACCAGGACATACTGTAATAACCAGGACATAATACCAGCACACAAAACCAGGACATAATGCCAGGACATAATACCAGGACATACTGTAATACCAGGACATAATACCAGGTCATAATACCAGGACATAATACCAGGTGATAATACCAGGTCATAATACTAGTACGTAATACCAGGACGTAATACCAGTACGTAAAACACCAGGACGTAATACCAGGACATAATACCAGGACATAATACCAGGACATATCAGGACACAATACCAGGACATACTGTAATACCAGAACAATACCAGGACATAATCCTTGGACATACAGTGGGGAAAAAAAGTATTTAGTCAGCCACCAATTGTGCATGTTCTCCCACTTAAAAAGATGAGAGAGGCCTGTAATTTTCATCATAGGTACACGTCAACTATGACAGACAAATTGAGAAAAAATTATCCAGAAATTCACATTGTAGGATTTTTAATGAATTTATTTGCAAATTATGGTGGAAAATAAGTATTTGGTCACCTACACACAAGCAAGATTTCTGGCTCTCACAGACCTGTAACAACTTCTTTAAGAGGCTCCTCTGTCCTCCACTCGTTACCTGTATTAATGGCACCTGTTTGAACATGTTATCAGTATAAAAGACACCTGTCCACAACCTCAAACAGTCACACTCCAAACTCCACTATGGCCAAGACCAAAGAGCTGTCAAAGGATACCAGGACATAATCCTAGGACATAATACCAGGACATATCAGGCCATAATATCAGGTCATAATACCTGGACATAATACCAGGTCATAATACTAGGCCATAATACCAGGACATAATACCAGGACATAATACCAGGACATAATATCAAGACATAACACCAGGACATAATACCAGGCCATAACATCAGGACATAATATCAGGACATATCAGGACATAATGCCAGGACATAATACCAGGACATACTGTAATACCAGGTCATAATACCAGGACGTAATACCAGGTCATAATACCAGGACATAATACCTGGACATAATACCAGGTCATAATACCAGGACGTAATACCAGGACGTAATACCAGGTCAAATACCAGGACATAATACTCAGACATAATACCAGGACGTAATACCAGGACACAATACCAGGACATAATACAGGACTACGTAATACCGGGGATAAAACCAGACGTAAACCAACAAAAACCCGGGCATAAAAATTTTTCAGGACCTAATACCAGGACGTAAAAAACCGATTAAACCAGGCTAAACCCCCCATACGTAAAACCAGGGCATAATACCCGGATAAAACCCGGACTATCCCCGGCATAAACCAACATAAAACCCGGACATAAAAAGGACCCTAAACCGGAAAAATTGGGGAAAAAAAGATATCCCGACCAAAAAGGGCAAATCCCAAATTAAAAAAATAAGGGGGTCCGGTAATTTTCCCTCAAAAAAGTACCTTCCCAACTAAAAAGAAAAATTTAAAAGAAAAAAAATCCGGAAAATCACATTTAGGAAAATTCAGGGAAAAAAATTTTAAAAAATTTGGCAAAAATATGGGGAAAAAAAGTATTTGGGCAACCCCAAAAAAGGAAAGATGTTTTTTGGCCTCCAAAAAAAAGAAAAACCCCGAAACCAAAAAAGCTTTTTAAAAAAGGTCACCTACAAACAAGCAAGATTTCTGGCTCTCACAGACCTGTAACTTCTTCTTTAAGAGGCTCCTCTGTCCTCCACTCGTTACCTGTATTAATGGCACCTGTTTGAACATGTTATCAGTATAAAAGACACCTGTCCACAACCTCAAACAGTCACACTCCAAACTCCACTATGGCCAAGACCAAAGAGCTGTCAAAGGACACCAGAAACATAATTGTAGACCTGCACCAGGCTGGGAAGACTGAATCTGCAATAGGTAAGCAGCTTGGTTTGAAGAAATCAACTGTGGGAGCAATTATTAGGAAATGGAAGACATACAAGACCACTGATAATCTCCCTCGATCTGGGGCTCCACGCAAGATCTCACCCCGTGGGGTCAAAATGATCACAAGAACGGTGAGCAAAAATCCCAGAAGCACATGGGAGGACCTAGTGAATGACCTGCAGCGAGCTGGGACCAAAGTAACAAAGCCAACCATCAGTAACACACTACGCCGCCAGGGACTCAAATCCTGCAGTGCCAGACGTGTCCCCCTGCTTAAGCCAGTACATGTCCAGGCCAGTCTGAAGTTTGCTAGAGTGCATTTGGATGATCCAGAAGAGGATTGGGAGAATGTCATATGGTCAGATGAAACCAAATTATAACTTTTTGGTAAAAACTCAACTCGTCGTGTTTGGAGGACAAAGAATGCTGAGTTGCATCCAAAGAACACCATACCTACTGTGAGGCATGGGGGTGGAAACATCATGCTTTGGGGCTGTTTTTCTGCAAAGGGACCAGGACGACTGATCCGTGTAAAGGAAAGAATGAATGGGGCCATGTATCGTGAGATTTTGAGTGAAAACCTCCTTCCATCAGCAAGGGCATTGAAGATGAAACGTGGCTGGGTCTTTCAGCATGACAATGATCCCAAACACACCGCCCGGGCAATGAAGGAGTGGCTTCGTAAGAAGCATTTCAAGGTCCTGGAGTGGCCTATCCAGTCTCCAGATCTCAACCCCATAGAAAATCTTTGGAGGGAGTTGAAAGTCTGTGTTGCCCAGCGACAGCCCCAAAACATCACTGCTCTAGAGGAGATCTGCATGGAGGAATGGGCCAAAATACCAGCAACAGTGTGTGAAAACCTTGTGAAGACTTACAGAAAACGTTTGACCTGTGTCATTGCCAACAAAGGGTATATAACAAAGTATTGAGAAACTTTTGTTATTGACCAAATACTTATTTTCCACCATAATTTGCAAATAAATTCATTAAAATTCCTACAATGTAATTTTCTGGATTTTTTTCTTCTCATTTTGTCTGTCATAGTTGACGTGTACCTATGATGAAAGTTACAGGCCTCTCTCATCTTTTTAAGTGGGAGAACTTTTGGTGGCTGACTAAATACTTTTTTCCCCCACTGTAATATCAGGACATAATACCAGGTCATAATACTAGGACATAATACCAGGAAGTAACACCAGGAAGTAATACCAGGACATAATACCAGGACATAATACCAGGATGTAATATCCCAAACCAGACTGTTTCTCTGTGCTGCTGCAGAGGGCCTCACCATGTCTGCAGAGGGTCTCACCATGCCTCACCATGACACACACACACACACCGGCCTCACCATGTCTGCAGAGGGCTAAGGTTGTCATCAAAGGGGTGTCCTATAGTAGCTTGATGCTGTTCCCACCTCCAGGCTTTGATCCTGCTGATCAGATGAGACTGACACTTCTCCAGACTGGTCACTGCCTCCTGGAGCAGCTGTATACGCTTCTACAAAAGCACGCACACACACACGCACACACGCACGCACGCACACACGCACGCACACACACACAGTTGAGTTTGTAGAGAGAGAGTTATGCAGAGAAAGGCGAACAATTCATACAGTACAGGAAAACACCGGCCTTAGAGAGGCAAACAGTTCCTACTGTTTGGGGAGGGGGCCAAAAGGCTAGGGTCAGCTCTGTATGGATGTGGGTATGCATTATGAGTTCAGATTTTTTGTGGCCCCCACCCCCAACAAGGTTGCCCATCCCTGATTTAGACCCTCCGGCCATAAACAGACAGACAAACATAGTTAAGACCCTCCGGCCATAGACAGACAAACGAACAGACATAGTTAAGACCCCCGCCATAGACAGACAGACAAACATAGTTAAGACCCTCCGGCCATAGACAGACAGACAAACATAGTTAAGACCCTCCGGCCATAGACAGACAGACAACATAGTTAAGACCCTCCGGCCATAGACAGACAGACAAACATAGTTAAGACCCTCCGGCCATAGACAGACAGACAAACATAGTTAAGACCCTCTGGCCATAGACAGACAGACAAACATAGTTAAGACCCTCCGGCCATAGACAGACAGACAAACATAGTTAAGACCCTCCGGCCATAGAGAGACAGACAACATAGTTAAGACCCTCCGGCCATAGACAGACAGACAAACATAGTTAAGACCCTCGGCCATAGACAGACAGACAAACATAGTTAAGACCCTCCGGCCATAGAGCAGACAGACAAACATAGTTAAGACCCTCCGGCCATAGACAGACAGACAAACATAGTTAAGACCCTCCGGCCATAGACAGACAGACAAACATAGTTAAGACCCTCCGGCCATAGACAGACAGACAAACATAGTTAAGACCCTCCGGCCATAGACAGACAGACAAACATAGTTAAGACCCTCCGGCCATAGACAGACAGACAAACATAGTTAAGACCCTCCGGCCATAGACAGACAGACAACATAGTTAAGACCCTCCGGCCATAGACAGACAGACAGACATAGTTAAGACCCTCCGGCCATAGACAGACAGACAGACATAGTTAAGACCCTCCGGCCATAGACAGACAGACAAACATAGTTAAGACCCTCCGGCCATAGACAGACAGACAGACATAGTTAAGACCCTCCGGCCATAGACAGACAGACAGACATAGTTAAGACCCTCAGGCCATAGACAGACAGACAGACATAGTTAAGACCCTCCGGCCATAGACAGACAGACAGACTAGTTAAGACCCTCGGCCATAGACAGACAGACAGACATAGTTAAGACCCTCCGGCTCATCAGACAGAAGAAACCTCTCCACTGTAACCTCCGGCCATAGAGAGACAGACAAACATAGTTAAGACCCTCCGGCCATAACAGACAGAAAAACATAGTTAAGACCCTCCAGCATAGAGACAGACAAACATAGTTAAGACCCTCCGGCCATAGACAGACAGCAAACATAGTTAAGACCCTCGGCCATAGCAGACAGACAGACTAGTTAAGACCTCCGGCCATAGACAGACAGACAACATAGTTAAGACCCTCCGGCCATAGACAGCAGACAAACATATTAGACCCTCCGCCCATAGACAGACAGACAGACCTGTTAGACCCTCCGGCCATAACAGACAGACAAACATAGTTAAGACCCTCCAGCCATAGACAGACAGACAGAACATAGTTAAAACCCTCCGGCCATAGACAGACAGACAGACATAGTTAAGACCCTCCAGCCATAGACAGACAGACAAACATAGTTAAGACCCTCCGGCCATAGACAGACAGACAAACATAGTTAAGACCTCCGGCCATAGACAGACAGACAGACATAGTTAAGACCCCTCCTGGCCATAGACAGACAGACAGACATAGTTAAGACCCTCCGGCCATAGACAGACAGACAGACATAGTTAAGACCCTCCGGCCATAGACAGACAGACAAACATAGTTAAGACCTCCGGCCATAGACAGACAGACAAACATAGTTAAGAACCCTCCGGCCATAGAGAGACGACAGGACATGTTAAGACCCTCCGGCCATAGTACGACAGACAAACATAGTTAAGACCCTCCGGCCATAGAGAGACAGACAGACATAGTTAAGGACCCTCCGGCCATAGACAGACAGACAAACATAGTTTAAGACCCTCCGGTCCATAGACAGAGAGACAAACATAGTTAAGACCCTCCGGCCATAGACAGACAGACAGACATAGTTAAGACCCTCTGGCCATAGACAGACAGACAGACATAGTTAAGACCCTCCGGCCATAGACAGACAGACAGACATAGTTAAGACCCTCCGGCCATAGACAGACAGACAAACATAGTTAAGACCCTCCGGCCATAGACAGACAGACAGACATAGTTAAGACCCTCTGGCCATAGACAGACAGACAGACAGACATAGTTAAGACCCTCCAGCCATAGACAGACAGACAGACATAGTTAAGACCCTCCAACCATAGAGAGACACTTACAATACACGTATGGACAATCTTTTTGACCTTGTCAGCTCAGGTATTCAAACCAGCAACCTTTCAATTACTGACCCAATCCTCTAACCGTTAGGCTACCTGCCACCAAGGGCGCACAATGTTTTGCAATGGAAATCTGTGTTCTAATTGGACAACTTCAGGTATAGTCTTTTGTGACAGATTTAACAACAGCAGGCTAGCACACACGTGAGAACAACAATTGTGTATGTTACGTAATGGCTTACCTTGGCTATGACTTGGCCATTATACTCATGCTGGTTGATGTTAGTCTGCAGTTTGGTGACTTCTGACATGCTGGGGTCCATCCCATTGGTCTGGGTCGGCTGGAGGGGGCCTGTCACCCAATTAAATACAATATTTATTTACAATCATGTGTTATATTGTATCTTTATGGGGCCTTGTCCGAGCCAAAATGGCCCGTTGGCCAGAAGCCTGTATCTCTTGTTTCTGTAGCGTGAGCCCAGCTGTACAAGTACACCCCCTGAACAGGAAGCTAGTCTATCGCAGTGAGCCCAGCTGTACAAGTACACCCCCTGAACAGAAAGCTAGTCTATCACAGTGAGCCCAGCTGTACAAGTACACCCCCTGAACAGGAAGCTAGTCTATCGGAGGGCCTTGGAGGAAAACACTGCTCACTGGGCATAATTTCAACCAGACACAGAACACAATGTCCGCCATGAGCTCTGGGCCTGTATTCACAAACTGTCTCAAAATAGGAGTGCTAGTGATCTAGGATCAGTTTCCCTTTTAGATTAGCATTTATAAGATTACATGGATGGGGGGACGTGATCCTAGATCAGCTCTGTGCCCAAGAACGCCAAGGTAGCCTGTCTAAATGACTATCGCCCCGTAGCACTCACATCTATAGCCATGAAATGCTTTGAAAGGCTGATCATGGCTGATCATGGCTCACATCAACGCCATCATCCCAGACACCCTGGACCCACTCCAATTCGCATACCGCCCCAACAGATCCACAGATGACACAATGTCTATTGCACTCCACACCACTGCCCTTTCCCACCTGGACAAAAGGAACACCTACGTGAGAATGCTGTTAACTGACTAAAGCTCAGCGTTCAACACCATTGTGCCCTTCAAGCTCATCACTAAGCTAAGGACCCTGGGACTAAACACCTCCCTCTGCAACTGGATCCTGGACGTCCTGACGGGTCAACCCCAGGTGATGAGGCTAGGCAACAACACCTTCACCATGCTGACCCTCAACACGAGGGCCCCTCAGTGGTGCGTACTTAGTCCCCTCCTGTACTACCGGTTCACCAACAACTGTGTGGCCGCGCATGACTCCAACACCATCATTCAATTTGCAGACGACACAACGGTGGTTGGCCTTATCACAGACGACGACGAGACAGCCTACAGGGAGGAGGTCAGAGACCTGGCAGTGTGGTGCCAGGACAAAAACCTCTCCCTCAACGTAAGCAAGACAAAGGAACTGATCTCGGACTACAGGAAACGGAGGTCCGTGCTTGCCCCCATCCACATCGATGGGGCTGTTGTGGAACAGGTCGAGAGCTTCAAGAGCCTCGGTGTCACTAAGGAACAATCATGGTCCACACACATCAACAGTCATGAAGAGGGCACGACAAGGATTTGGCTTGGGCCCTCAGATCCTCATAAAGTTATACAGCTGCACCATTGAGAGCATCTTGACTGGATGCATCACCACTTGGTATGGCAACTGTTTGTCATCCAACCGCAAGGCACTACAGAGGGTAGTGCGTACGGCCCAGTACATCACTGGGGCCGAGCTCCCTGCCATCCAGGACCTCTATACCAGGCGGTGTCAGAGGAAGGCCCTAAAAAAAGACTCCAGCCACCCAAGTCATAGAATGTTCTCTCTGCTACCGCACAGCAAGCGGTACAGATGCACCAAGTCTGGAACCAACAGGACCCTGAACAGCTTCTACCCCCAAGCTATAAGAATGTTAAATAGTTAGTTAAATAGTTAGCCAATAGTTACCCGGAATATCTGCATTGACCCTTTTTGCACTAATCTCTTTTGACTCATCATATACACTGCTGCTACTGTTTACTATCTACCCTGTTGCCTAGTCACTTTACCCCTACCTATAAGTACATACAGTATCTACCTCCATTACCTCGTACCCCTGCACATTGACTCAGTACTGCTACCCTGTGTATATAGCCAAGTTATCGTTACTCATTGTGTATTTATTCCTTGTTTTTTTCTGCATTGTTGGGAAGGGCCCGTAAGTATTTCACTGTTAGTCTAAAACCTGTTGTTTTCCTTTACTTTCTGTCTGCTAAAGTAAGAGAGACACTGAAAAGAGACGCTGAAATTTTTTTCATTTTTGCAGGTCTTCATTTTGTGTTCCCTGTTTGTAAACTGTATTTGTGGTGTCATGTACACATGAAGGCAATACACAGAAGCCATCTGTTTAGTCTGCGCAGTCTAATCAGTTTTAGCATCATAATTGTGTCCTGTAGCCCTTTATACTCATACCCGGCTTGAAAATGGCAGGTTTGGGCACTGCTAAACACCCAAATTGGAACGCAGTGGCTGTACACTAACATGCTATACATGACAGAGCTCTGCGCTTCACAGCTCTGTATAAGGTTTTGACTGACAGGCGTTCTGAACTTGAGAACGGCGCACAACAAGAAGTTTGCCCCCATCCCTCCTGCTAATTGTGTAACTTTTGGGCTTTTGTTGTCTTAGTGAGGGAAAGGCTGTAGATTAAGAGGACTATGTATTTTGAAAGATGAGACGTTGAATATTATAATAAAGAGCGCTTTGAACACCTACGTGCTCACCAGCCTCCCGAACTGCAGCACCTGGTTGTCTATAACGGTCAGTTAGACATGCTCAGCCTGCAGAACCTACGTGGCAAGGTAATGGACGACAAACACTTGTGAGGTAATGCAGGTTCATGAGTGACACATCGAAACAAAGTGAGAGGACTGTAGCTAAGGGGATGATCTGTCTTGGAGGTTACTGAAGACACCAATGGATGAGATGGCCCTGAGATTAGGTCGACAGTGACCTACTTTGGCCAAATCAGGTATTGTAGGATGTTGCGTTTCTTCTATCATCAGAACTTAAAGAATGTACTACTTAACTATGACTGTGAGTCGCTTTGGATAAAAGCGTCTGCTAAATGGCATATTATTATTATTATTATCAGGCAACAATGTAGTCAATGTATCCTGGGCGATATTAAAAAGCTATTAAAAAGTTAGGGTTGGAGACAATCTTTGGCTGCAAAATACATAAATTACACAGTGGAACATTAGTTTCCTGTGAATTGACCTAATCTTGATTCCCTGATGATTTCATGGTGATTCCATATAAACTCTGCTACATGCTCCAGAATTGACAGTGTTGAATCTGGAATGGGATATGGCCTTGGGCCAGTTCGTCAGAACATTTACCCAGATAAAAAAAAGTACCCTATGTCATGTTAGATTCTGTTGCTCCCTTCAAGATTTGTATAGGTTCCAACTGGTAAGACTGTGCCGCTAGCCACGGCAAGGTTGTGGGTTCAATGATGTAGCTATTCGCTACTCGTGTTAGCATTACGGTTAAGTCTGACATGTTTTGCTATGGGGAAATGCTCATTGTTCCCCTTCTTAGTAATAAGTGTATTTGGTATTGCTCACCCTGCATGGACTCATAGTTCTGCCTCTCCCAGTTGAGCTCCTCCTGCAGCTGATGGATCTGCTGTCTGCAGTTCTGGATATCCAGCACCTTTAGCACCAGCAGGTCCACGTCCCGGGTGGTGGGGGCTACAGCCATGGGATCCTGAGAGAAGTGGGCTATGGCCGGGATCTGGGTAGACTGTGGAGGAAGAAGACAGAGTATTAGAGGTATTCTCTGGTGGTGGGGATCTGGGCTATGCTGTCCTGGGCTTGGGCCGGGAGAAAGTGGAGTGAGGGGATCTGGGTAGACTACGGAGAGAGTAGACTGTTAGAGCAGTGAGGGTGGGTGGGGGAAGTGACCGTGTTAGACCGCTGAGTTAAAGCATAGTCTCTGTTACACTTACCGCCCTGCTGAGCAGCTCCCTCTCCTTCCTCAGGACATCTCTGACAGTCAGCACCAGCTGTAGGGGCTGGGAGCGGAATATACTCTGGAACACAGTCAATGCTCACATCAACCACACGGCCATACATAAGGAGAGGAGAAGAGAGGGAGGGAGAGGAGAGGAAGGAGGAAAGGAGAGGCAGGAGAGAGATAGAGAGGCTGGGAAAATACTCTGGAAGACAGGCATAGTTCCCATCAATCACCAGACAACATAGTAGATTACAATATTACTGAGGATAACACGTTCCCTCACAGTACTGAAAACTGTTTTTGTTTCTCTGTTGCAGTGTACCTTAATTAATACCATGCATGCCAGTTAAATATACTGTATTTGACTGCCCTGTGGGAATAAAGTAAAGTAAATGTCACGGTTTCGGCCGAGGCTGCCTCTCTTCCTTGCTCGGGCAGGCTTCGGCGGTCGTCGTCTCCGGAGTACTAGCTGCCACCGTTGAATGTTTCTATGTTCGTTTGGTTTTGTCTTTATGTTGTACACCTGTTTTCGTTTAGCGCTAATTTGTGTCCTATAAGTTCTCGTTGTGTTTGTCAGGTGTTGTGTGTGATTGTTTCGCTGTCGTGTTTGTGCGCTACTGTTGCCCGTTTGCTCTTCGTGGTTTTCCTCCTCTGTTTAGGAGGGTATTTTCGCACATGTTAGTGCGCCTTTTGGTTTACGCCTGTGTGCGTATTTTCTCGCCTCCGGGCTTTTTGGCTCGTGTATTGAGTGTGCTTTCACTAAAGTCTTTTGGACTAATTTTCTGCGTCCTGCGCCTGATTCCTGCACCACACCCACCTACAGCACCCACTGACAGTAAACAGTGAGTAGGACATTTCTACGAGTATTATCTAACCTTAATTTAAGCAGGGAGTCCGATTGAGACCAAGGTCTCCTTTTCAAGGGAGCCCTGCATACCAAAACCAGCAGCAATTTAAATAGTAGGCTCTGAGTAGGCCTATGTAGTCTACCAGTAGGCTTGAGGAGTATCCCTACAGTAGGCCAACTGTACCAGCTTTGAGTAGGTCAACTGTACCAGTCCTGGGTAGGCCCTGTACTAGTCCTGGTTAGGCCCTGTACTAGTCCTGGGTAGGCCCTGTACTAGTCCTGGGTAGGCCCTGTACCAGTCCTGGGTAGGCCCTGTACCAGTCCTGGTTAGGCCCTGTACCAGTCCTGGTTAGGCCCTGTACCAGTCCTGGTTAGGCCCTGTACCAGTCCTGGGTAGGCCCTGTACCAATCCTGGGTAGGCCCTGTACCAATCCTGGGTAGGCCCTGTACCAGTCCTGGTTAGGCCCTGTACCAGTCCTGGGTAGGCCCTGTACCAGTCCTGGGTAGGCCCTGTACCAGTCCTGGTTAGGCCCTGTACCAGTCCTGGTTAGGCCCTGTACCAGTCCTGGGTAGGCCCTGTACCAGTCCTGATTAGGCCCTGTACTAGTCCTGGTTAGGCCCTGTACTAGTCCTGGGTAGGCCCTGTACTAGTCCTGGGTAGGCCCTGTACTAGTCCTGGGTAGGCCCTGTACTAGTCCTGGTTAGGCCCTGTACTAGTCCTGGTTAGACCCTGTACTAGTCCTGGGTAGGCCCTGTACCAGTCCTGGTTAGGCCCTGTATTAGTCCTGGGTAGGCCCTGTACCAGTCCTGGGTAGGCCCTGTACTAGTCCTGGTTAGGCCCTGTACTAGTCCTAGTTAGGCCCTGTACTAGTCCTGGTTAGGCCCTGTACTAGTCCTGGGTAGGCCCTGTACCAGTCCTGGTTAGGCCCTGTACTAGTCCTGGTTAGGCCCTGTACTAGTCCTGGTTAGGCCCTGTACTAGTCCTGGTTAGGCCCTGTACTAGTCCTGGCTAGGTCCTTTACTAGTCCTGGGTTGGTCCTACAGCAGGGGTGGGTGCGACATTGAATGGGCCGTAGTTTGCCCACCCCTGCCCTATAGTAGGCATACTGCTCCTGTACAGGAACCAACACAGGCTTGAGTATCCCTTTAGGCTCTATTATATCCCTACTGTACTGTAGCCTACCATGTTCTTGGAGATGTGCTGCAGCCTCATCCTCTCCACCACGTTGGGGTTCTGCCCGGCCAGACTCTGTAGGCAGGAGATTATCTGATCCAGCAGGGACACGGCCTGGGACTCCTGGTCTACCTTCTCTGGCTCAAAGTCCTCCCTGGAGGGGGGGGGGGGGGGGGGGGGGGAGGAGAGAGAGAGGGTGGGTGGGTGGGAGAGAGGGTGGGTGGGGTGATGGGAGAGGGGGTTCACATTGTATGTGCTTGCTTGCGTGCGTCATACCATCTCTGTTCTTCGATCCAGTTGGCCAGGTAGCACCTCACGTCCAAGGGGAAGGAGGGGGTATAGAGCTGGTTGAGGATCTGTGGGGCCAGATAGGGGATCAGCTGTTTCATCTGCATCCACTGTGCCATGGTGAAGCAGAGCTGGAAGAGACAGGAATAAAGGACATCTAATAATGTACTATATCCAAACATACCATTCCAAATGGCACCATATTCCCTACATAGCATACTGCTTTTGGCTCAATTCAATCAAAGCCACATTGATGTATTAGGAAATCACAGCTGGTTTTGGTTACTGTAAAAGCCTTCTGCTGCCAGTTAGAGTCATGTTCATCTAACTCTCAGGAGAGGCGAAGGTCCAGAGCCGTGCGTTCTCCGAAACACGACCCTGCCAAGCCGCACTGCTTCTTGACACACTGCTCGCTTAACCTGGAAGCCAGCCGCACCAATATGTTGGAGGAAACGCGTACAATTGGCGACCGTGTCAGCGTGCATACGCCCGGCCCGCTGCAGGAGTCGCTAGAGCGCGATGGGACAAGTAGCCGGCCAAACCCTCCCCTAACCCGGACGACGCTGGGCCAATTGTGTGTCACCTCATGGGTCTCCCGGTCGCATCCGGCTTGCGACACAGCCTGGGATCGAACCCGGATCTGTAGCCTTAGACCGCTGCGTCACTTGGGAGACCCTGAACGCCCTAATTCAGTAATGAGAATAAGATAAAAGTCCTCAACAGGACAGTGGAGGGACTACGACAAACAGAAATGTTTTCATTTACTACCGTGTTGTTGTCATGTTGTGTTGCTACCGTGTTGTTGTCATGTTGTGTTGCTACCGTGTTGTTGTCATGTTGTGTTGCTACCATGCTGTGTTGTCATGTTGTGATGCTACCGTGTTGTTGTCATGTGTTGCTACCATGCTGTGTTGTCATGTTGTGTTGCTACCGTGTTGTTGTCATGTTGTGTTGCTACCATGCTGTGTTGTCATGTGTTGCTGCCATGCTGTGTTGTTTTAGGTCTCTCATTATGTAGTGTTGTGGTGTCTCTCTTTATGTAGTGTTGTGGTGTCTCTCTTTATGTAGTGTTGTGGTGTCTCTCTTTATGTAGTGTTGTGGTGTCTCTCTTTATGTAGTGTTGTGGTGTCTCTCTTTATGTAGTGTTGTGGTGTCTCTCTTTATGTAGTGTTGTGGTGTCTCTCTTGTCGTGATGTGTGTTTTGTCCTATATTTTTATTTTTCATCCCAGCCCCCGTCCCCGCAGGAGGCCTTTTGCCTCTTGGTAGGCCGTCATTGTAAATAAGAATTTGTTCTTAATTGACTTGCCTAGTTAAATACATGTTAAATAAAGATAAAATAAAATATATTGTTATGTTAATAACGCAATGCCATCATCCCTTAAAAGAGTAAAGCAACATCAACATAAAACAGCTTTCAAAAACATTGCTATGATAACTACAGAAGAAATACAGTGCAAATGCCAGACATGCAGAAAAAAAGGGCCATTTTCCAAGTAAAGAAATATGGTAGAGAGCCAAGAACAAGACAGAATTGTTGAGAGACTGACCCCCAATCTAAACTATATATACAAAAGTACAGTGTCTTCGGAAAGTATTCAGACCCCTTGACTTTTTCCACATTTTGTTACGTTACAGACTTATTCTAAAATGGATTAAAACAACAACAAAAACTCAGCAACCTACACACAATAACCCATAATGACAAAGCGAAAACAGGTTTTTAGACATTTTTGCAAATTCATTAAAAAAAACAAGCCATGAGGTGGAAGGAATTGTCCGTAGAGCTCCGAGACAGGATTGTGTCGAGGCACAGATCTGGGGAAGGGTAGCAAAACATTTCTGTAGCATTGAAGGTCCCCAAGAACATAGTGGCCTCCATCATTCTTAAATGGAAGAAGTTTGGAACCACCAAGACTCTTCCTAGAGCTGGCCGCCCGGCCAAACTGAGCAATCGAGGGAGAAGGGCCTTGGTCAGGGAGGTGACCAAGAACCTGACGGTCACTCTGACAGAACTAGAGATGGGAGAACCTTCCAGAAGGACAACCATCTCTGCAGCACTTCACCAATCAATCCTTTATGGTAGAGTGACCAGACGGAAGCCACTCCTCAGTAAAAGGCACATGACAGCCCGCTTGGAGTTTGCCAAAAGGCACCTAAAGACTCTCAGACCATGAGAAACAAGATTCTATGGTCTGATGAAACCAAGATTGAACTCTTTGGCCTGAATGCCAAGCATCACGTCTGAAGGAAACCTGGCACCATCCCTACGGTGAAGCATGGTGGTGGCAGCATCATGCTGTGGGGATGTTTTTCAGCAGCAGGGACTGGGAGACTAGTCAGGATCGAGGCAAAGGTGAATGGAGCAAAGTACAGAGAGATCCTTGATGAAAACCTGCTCCAGAGCGCTCAGGACCTCAGACTGGGGTGAAGGTTCACCTTCCAACAAGACAACGACCCTAAGCACACAGCCAAGACAACACAGGAGTGGCTTCGGGACAAGTCTCTGAATGTCCTTGAGTGGCCCAGCCAGAGCCCGTACTTGAACCCGATCAAACATCTTTGGAGAGACCTGAAATAGCTGTGCAATGACGCTCACCATCCAACCTGACAGAGCTTGAGAGGATCTGCAGAGAGTAATGGGAGAAACTCCCCAAATTCAGGTGTGCCAAGCTTGTAGCGTCATACCCAAGAAGACTCAAGGCTGTAATCGCTGCCAAAGGTGCTTCAACAAAGTACTGAGTAAAGGGTCTGAATACTTATGGAAATGTGATATTTCAGTTTTTATTTATTTATACATTGGCCAAACATAATATTTTGCTTTGTCATTATGGAGTATTGTGTGTAGATTGATGAGGGGAAAAAAAACAATTTAATCAATTTTAAAATAAGGCTGTAACCTAACAAAATGTGGAAAAAGTCAAAGGGTCTGAATACTTTCCAAAGGCACTGTATGTGGACACCCCTTCAAATTAGTGGATTTGGCTATTTCAGCCACACCCATTTCTGACAGGTATATAAAATTGAGCACACAGCAATGCGATCTCCATAGAGAAACATTGGTAGTAGAATGGTCTTACTGAAGAGCTCAGTGACTTTCAACGTGGAGTGGAAATGCATTCTCTGGAGTGATGAATCACGCTTCACCATCTGGCAGTCCGACAGATGAATCTGGGTTTGGCGGATGCCAGGAGAACACTACCTGCCCCAATGCATAATGGTCTGGGGCTGTTTTTCATGGTTCGGGCTAGGCTCCTTAGTTCCAGTGAAGGGAAATCTTAACGCTACAGCATACAATGACATTCTAGATTATTCTGTGCTTCCAACTTTGTGGCAACAGTTTGGGGAAGGCCCTTTCCTGTTTCAGCATGACAATGCCCCCGTGCACAAAGCGAGGTCCATACAGAAATGGTTTGTCAAGATTGGTGTGGTAGAACTTGACTGGCCTGCACAGAGCCCTGACCTCAACCCCATCAAACACCTTTGGGATGAATTTGAACGCCGACTGCGAGTCAGGCCTAATCGCCCAACATCAGTGCCCGACCTCACTAATGCTCTTGTGGCTGAAGTGAAGCAAGTCCCTGCAGCAACGTTCCAACATCTAGTGGAAACCCTTCCTAGAAGAGTGGAGGCTGTTATAGCAGCAAAGGGGGGACTAACTCCATATTAATGGCCATGATTTTGGAATGAGCTGTTCGACAAGCAGGTGTCCACATACTTTTGGTCATGTAGTGTAGCTTTATACAGTTAGCCTATAGCTTAATACACCTAGGAGGGAATTCCAACCCTAAGCGCGTAAAGAAAGGCCTAGTTAAGCTGCAGCTGGCCCAGAACAGAGCGGCACATCTTGCTCTTCATTGTAATCAGAGGGCTGATATAAATACTATGCATGCCAGTCTCTCTTGGCTAAGAGTTGAGGAGAGACTGACTGCATCACTTCTTCTTTTTATAAGAAACATTAATATGTTGAAATTGTTCGCATAGTCAACTTACACACAGCTCTGACACACACACTTACCCCACCAGACATGCCATCAGGGGTCTTTTCACAGTCCCCAAATCCAGAACAAATTCAAGAAAGCGTACAGTATTGTATAGAGCCATTATTGCATGGAACTCCCTTCCATCTCATATTGCTCAAATGAACAGCAAACCTGGTTTAAAAAAAACAGATAAAGCAACACCTCACGGCACAACGCCTCTCCCCTATTTGACCTAGATATTTTGTGTGTATGTATTGATATGTAGGCTGTGTGCCATTTTTTTATTAATGTAGTTCTGTCCTTGAGCTGTTCTTGTCTATCAATGTTCTGTATTATGTCATGTTTCATGTTTTGTGTGGACCTCAGGAAGAGTTGCTGCTGCTTTCGCAACAGCTAATGGGGCTCCTAATAATAATAATAATAATAATAATAATAATATGCCATTTAGCAGACGCTTTTATCCAAAGCGACTTACAGTCATGCGTGCATACATTTTTTTTGTGTATGGGTGGTCCCGGGGATCGAACCCACTACCTTGGCGTTACAAGCGCCGTGCTCTACCAGCTGATTTTGTACGTTTGCCCACTGACAAAGAAATGATCAGTCTATCATTTTAATGGTTGGTTTATTTGAACAGTGAGAGACAGAATAACAACAAAAAAAGCGCCGTGCTGATCCCCTGCTGATTTTGTACGTTTGCCCACTGACAAAGAAATAATCAGTCTATCATTTTAATGGTTGGTTTATTTGAACAGTGAGAGACAGAATAACAACAAAAAAATCCAGAAAAACGCATGTCAAAAATGTTATCAATTGATCTGCATTTTATTGAGGGAAATAAGTATTTAACCCCTCTGAAAAACATGACTTAGTACTTGGTGGCAAAACCCTTGTTGGCAATCACAGAGGTCAGACATTTCTTGTAGTTGGCCACCAGGTTTGCACACATCTCAGGAGAGATTTTGTCCCACTCCTCTTTGCAGATCTTCTCCAAGTCATTAAGGTTTCGAGGCTGACGTTTGGCAACTCGAACCTTCAGCTCCCTCCACAGATCTTCTATGGGATTGAGGTCTGGAGACTGGCTAGGCCACTCCAGGACCTTAATGTGCTTCTTCTTGAGCCACTCCTTTGTTGCCTTGGCCGTGTGTTTTGGGTCATTGTCATGCTGGAATACCCATCCACGACCCATTTTCAATGCCCTGGCTGAGGGAAGGAGGTTCTCACCCAAGATTTGACGGTACATGGCCCCGTCCATCGTCCCTTTGATGCGGTGAAGTTGTCCTGTCCCCTTAGCAGAAAAACACCCCCAAAGCATAATGTTTCCACCTCCATGTTTGACGGTGGGGATGGTGTTCTTGGGGTCATAGGCAGCATTCCTCCTCCTCCAAACACGGTAAATTGAGTTGATGCCAAAGAGCTCGATTTTGGTCTCATCTGACCACAACACTTTCACCCAGTTCTCCTCTGAATCATTCAGATGTTCATTGGCAAACTTCAGACGGGCCTGTATATGTGCTTTCTTGAGCAGGGGGACCTTGCGGGCGCTGCAGGATTTCAGTCCTTCACGGCGTAGTGTGTTACAAATTGTTTTCTTGGTGACTATGGTCCCAGCTGCCTTGAGATAATTGACAAGATCCTCCCGTGTAGTTCTGGGCTGATTCCTCACCGTTCTCATGATCATTGCAACTCCACGAGGTGAGATCTTGCATGGAGCCCCAGGCCAAGGGAGATTGACAGGTCTTTTGTGTTTCTTCCATTTGCGTTTAATCGCACCAACTGTTGTCACCTTCTCACCAAGCTGCTTGGCGATGGTCTTGTAGCCCAGTCCGGCCTTGTGTAGGTTTACAATCTTGTCCCTGACATCCTTGGAGAGCTCTTTGGTCTTGGCCATGGTGGAGAGTTTGGAATCTGATTGATTGATTGCTTCTGTGGACAGGTGTCTTTTATACAGGTAAAAAACTGAGATTAGGAGCACTCCCTTTAAGAGTGTGCTCCTAATCTCAGCTCATTACCTGTATAAAAGACACCTGGGAGCCAGAAATCTTTCTGATTGAGAGGGGGTCAAATACTTATTTCCATCATTAAAATGCAAATCTATTTATAACATTTTTGACAAGCGTTTTTCTGGATTTTTTTGTTGTTATTCTGTCTCTCACTGTTCAAATAAACCTACCATTAAAATTATAGACTGATCATGTCTTTGTCAGTGGGCAAACGTACAAAATCAGCAGGGGATCAAATACTTTTTTCCCTCACTGTACATGTTTTTACATGGCTTTCTTTCATTGATCCCTAATATTCTGAAGCGTTCTCTCCATATATTCTACACTGTTAAAATGAAGTGCTTTGTAACACCAAAACTAGTGGCAACTGAGCTGCCACCAACTTGAAGGAGATGAAACCTTAATTTTAATGGAGTATTGAAACACATCATCCCGAGATGTTCTGAAACATGACACGGTGTGTTTTAACACCACTTAAGCAAGTGTTGTGCAACACCTTGACAGGGACTGGGAGCACTAACGGAAGAGGTTGAAAACACATTTATTTGGTGTTTCAAGTCCAGTCTAGTGCAGAATTAGGTCCCTTCTCTTTTGGTGAGATAGATAACTTCTGGAGTATTTGAAATGATTTGATTTGATCTGATCATTGGCAGGCATTGTTGAGCAGTGAGCAGTAACTAGAGGTTTAACAGTTGTCTCATCATTGAATGTCATTTTGCCTGACAATTTTGATATCCGTTCATCATGATCCATTAAGCCTACCCCTCATGGCCCAACAAGCTGCTTAATACTAATACAGAAAGTATCATTTTCTTTCTTCAAACATGCATAAAACATTGCATGGAACTCCATCTCATATTGCTCAAATGAACATCAAACCTGGTTTAAAAAAACAGATAAAGCAACACCTCACGGCACAACGCCTCTCCCCTATTTGACCAATATATTTTGTGTGTATGTATTGATATGTAGGCTGTGTGCCATTTTTAAATTAATGTAGTTCTGTCCTTGAGCTGTTCTTGTGTATCAATGTTCTGTATTATGTCATGTTTCATGTTTCAGGGCCTCCTGTAGCTCAGTTGGTAGAGCATGGCGCTTGCAACGCCAGGGTTGTGGGTTCAATTCCCACGGGGGGGCCAGTATGAATAATGTATGCACTCACTAACTGTAAGTCGCTCTGGATAAGAGTGTCTGCTAAATGACTAAAGTGTAAAATAATCATAAAGTCAAAAATGTTTGAATTACACACAATCCAAAAAAGAGCAAGATAGGAGGAAGTGCAAGGAGATTAAAACCAGACACATTTTTTACATTTTAGTCATTTCGCAGACGCTCTTATCCAGAGAGACTTACAGGAGCAATTAGGGTTAAGTGCCTTGCTCAAGGGCACATCGACAGATTTTTCACCTAGTCGACTCGGGGATTAGAGCCAGCGACCTTTCGGTTTCTGGCACAACGCTCTTAACCACTAAGCTACCTGCCGCCCAAATGGTACCGCAGCATCGGCTCTCGGACCAACAGGCTCGGAGACAGCTTCTACCTCCAAGGCATAAGACTGCTAAATAGTTCATTAACGGTTACACGGACTATCTGCATTCACCCTATCTTGCACTGACTCTGTGCACACTCAAAATACTATATGTATGCACTATATACACACTAACGCTACACTGACACTCTCACAGAAAACCCACACACATTCACATACACTACATACACACACACACACACACACACACAAACACTTTCACACACATCATATGCTGCTGGTCCTCTCTTAATTTTACTCGTATTATTATCTATCCTGATGCCTAGTCACTTTACCCTGCCTTCATGTACATATCTACCTCAAATACCTTATTATTATAATATATCCTGATGCCTAGTCACTTTACCCTGCCTTCATGTACATATCTACCTCAAATACCTTATTATTATCTATCCTGATGCCTAGTCACTTTACCCTGCCTTCATGTACATATCTACCTCAAATACCTTATTATTATTATCTATCCTGATGCCTAGTCACTTTACCCTGCCTTCATGTACATATCTACCTCAAATACCTTATTATTGTCTATCGTGACGCCTAGTCACTTTACCCTGCCTTCATGTACATATCTACATCAAATACCTTATTATTATTATCTATCCTGATGCCTAGTCACTTTACCCTGCCTTCATGTACATATCTACCTCAAATACCTATTATTATCTATCCTGATGCCTAGTCCACTTTATCCTGCCTTCATGTACATATCTACCTCAAATACCTTATTATTATCCGTTCCTGATGCCTAGTCACTTTAACCCTGCCTTCATGTACATATCTACCTCAAATACCTTATATTATCTATCCTGATGCCTAGTCACTTTACCCTGCCTTCATGTACATATCTACCTCAAATACCTTATTACTCCTCTATCCTGATGCCTAGTCACTTTACCCATGCCCTTCATGTACATATCTACCTCAAATACCTTATTATTATCCTTCTGATGCCTAGTTCACTTTACCCTGGACCTTCATGTAAATATCTACCACAAATACCTTATTATTATATTCTGATGCCTCGTCACCTTTACCTGCCTTGCCATGTCATATCACTCAAACCTTATTATTATCCATCCTGATGCCTAGTTAACTTACCCGCCTTCATGTACATAATCTACCGTCAAATACCTTTTATAATATATCCTGACTGCCTAGTCACCTTTAGCCTGCCTTCATGTACATATCTACCCCAATCAAAAACCTTATCTATTATCATCCTGATGCCTAGTCACTTTACCCTTGCATTCATGTACATATCTACCTACAAATACCGTATTATGATTATCATCCTGATGCCTTAGTCACTTACCTGCCTCATGTACATTATTTTCTACTCAAAACCTATTATTATTATCTATCCTGTGCCTAGTCACTTTACCCTGCCTTACTCATGTACACATTATTACCCAAATACATTATTATTATCTATCCTGATGCCTAGTCACTTTACCATTGCCTTCATGTACATATCTACATAAAATTACCTTATTATTATCTATCCTGATGCCTAGTCACTTTACCCTCCGATGCCTTCATGTACATATCTACCTCAATACTATGACTCTCTATCCTGAGCCTAGTCACTTTACCAGCCTCATGTACATATCTACCCTCAAATAACTTATTATTATCCTTCCTGATGCCTAGTAACTTTACCCTGCCTCATGTACATATTACCACCAAATACCTTATTATTATCGATCCTGATTTGCCTCGTACGTTACCTGCCTTTCATGTTTTTACAACTAACCTCAAAACTTATTATGATCACATCCTGATGCCAGTACTTTACCCAGACTTCATGTAACATATCTACCTCAAAATTACCTTATTATTATCTATTCCTGATGCCTAGTCACTTTACCCTGCCTTCATGTTACACAATATACCTCAAATACCTATTCTATTCTATACTGATGGCATAGTCACTTGAACCCTGCCGTCTGTACAATATACCTCACATACCCTGATTATTATATATCCTATGCATCACTTTATCCGGCTTCCTGTACATATCTACCTCAAATAACTATTATATACATCCTGATGCCTATTCACTTTACCTGCCTTCATGTACATATATACCTCAAATACCTTTTACTTATCTATCCTGAGGCTATCACTTTACCCTTTGCCTTCAGGTCATATCTACCTCAAATACCTTATCATTATCCTTCAGATGCCTAGCACTTTACACTGCCTTCATGTAATATCTACCTCAAAATACTTAATATTATCTATCCGATGCTAGTCACTTTACCCTGCCTTCCTGTACATATCTACCTCAAATACTTAATTATCCTTCCTGATGCATAGTCACTCTACCTGCCTGTGACATATTACCTCCAAATACATATTAGAGCTATCCTGCTGCCCTAGTCACTACACGGCCTTCATGTAATAATCTAAACTCAAATAACTTAATATTATCTATCATGATGCCCTAGTCACTTTTATCCTTGCCTTAATGTTACATATCTACCTTCAAATACATTATTATTATCCGTCCTAAGGCCTAGTCACTTTACGCTTCCTTCATGTAATATCTATTTCAAATCCTATTATTATCTATCCTGATGCCTAGTCACTTTAACCCTGGCATTCATGTACTATCATACCTCAAATACCTTCTTATTATCCTTCATGATGCCTCGATCACTTCCCTGCCTCTGTACATATCTACCTCAAATACTTAAATATTAATATCTGATCTAGTCCACTGTACCCTGCCTTCATGTACATAATCTACTCAAAAGAACTTATTATTATCCTCCTGATGCCTAGTCACTTTACACTGCCTCATGTACATATCTACCTCAAATACCTATATTATCTATTCCTGATGCCTGAGTCACTTTATCCTGGCCTTTTTTTTTCCCACATGATAACATACTACCTTCAAATACCTTATTATTATCCGTCTGATGCCTAGTCACTTACCCTGCCTTCATGTACATATCTACCTCAAATTACCTTATTATTATCTATCCTGATGCCCTAGTCACTTTACCCTGCCTTCATGTACATATCTACCTCAAATACCTTATTACTATCTATCCTGATGGCCTAGTGACTTTAACCCTGCCTTCATGTACATATCTACCTCAAATACCTTATTATTATCCTATCCTGATGCCTAGTCACTTTACCCGCCTTCATGTACATATCTACCCTCAAATACCTTATATTATCTATCCTGATGCCTAGTCACTTTACCCTGCCTTCATGTACATATCTACCTCAAATACCTTATTATTATCTATCCTGATGCCTAGTCACTTTACCCTGCCTTCATGTACATATCTACCTCAAATCCCTTATTATTATCTATCCTGATGCCTAGTCAACTTTACCTGCCTTCATGTACATATCTACCCTCAAATACCTTATTATTATCCATCCTGATGCCTAGTCACTTTACCCTGCCTTCATGTAAATATTCTACCTCAAAAAATTACCTTATATTATCTATCCTGATGCTAGTCACTTTACCTGCCTTCATTGAATATCTACCTCAAATACTTATTATTATATATATCCTGATGCCTAGTCAACTTTACACTGCCTTCATGTACATATTACTCAAATACCCTTATTATTATCTATCTGATGCCCTAAGTCACTTTTCTGCCCTTCATGTACATATCTACCTCAAATACCTTATTTAGTAGTATCTAATCATGTGGCCTAGTCACGTTACCCTGCCTGCAGTACATATAGACCTCCAAATACCTTATTATTATCGATCTGATGCCTAGTCAATTTTACCCTGCCTCATTACATATCTACCTCAAATCCCTTATTATTATCTATCCTGTGCCTAGTCACGGTACAATGCCTTCATGTACATATTTACCCTCAATATTACCGTATGATTATCTATCCTGATGCCTAGTCACTTTACCCCTGCATTTCATGTACTATTACCTCAAATACCTTATTATTATCTATCCTGATGCCTAGTCACTTTACCCTGCCTTCATGTACATATCTACCTCAAATACCTTATTATTATCTATCCTGATGCCTAGTCACTTTACCCTGCCTTCATGTACATATCTACCTCAAATACCTTATTATTATCTATCCTGATGCCTAGTCACTTTACCCTGCCTTCATGTACATATCTACCTCAAATACCTTATTATTATCCTTCCTGATGCCTAGTCACTTTACCCTGCCTTCATGTACATATCTACCACAAATACCTTATTATTATCTATCCTGATGCCTAGTCACGTTACCCTGCCTTCATGTACATTCTACCTTCAAATACTTATTAATATATCTATCCTGATGCCTAGTCACTTCACCCTGCCTTCATGTACATATCTACCTCAAATACCTTATTATTATCCTTCCTGATGCCTAGTCACTTTACCACTGCCTTCATGTACATATCTCTACCAAATAACCTTATTATTATCTATCCTGATTGCATAGTCACTTACCTGCCTTATGTTACTATCGACCCTCAAAAACCTTATTATTATCCGTCCTGATGCCTAGTCACTTTACCCCTGCTTCATGATATCTCTACCTCAAATACCGTATATGATCTATCCTGATGCCTAGTCACTACCGCCTCATGTACATATCTCCTCAAAACCTTATTACTATCATCCTGATGGCCTAGTCACTTTACCCTGCCTCATGTAACATATCACCTCCAAACCTTATTATTATCCTTCATGATGCCTAGTCACTTGTACCCTGCCGTCATGTTAAACTCTACTCACAAATACCTATTATTATCAATCCTGATGCCTAGTCACTTTACCCTGCCTTTCATGTACATCTACCTCAAATACCTATTATTTCCTTCCTGATGCTCGTCTCACTTTACCTGCCTTCATGTACATACTACCTGCAAATACCTTATATTATCTATCCTGAGCGAGTCACCCGCGTTACCCTGCCTTCAGGTACATATCTACCTCAAACACCTTATTATTATTTCCTACTGATGCTAGTCACTTTACCCTATCCTTATTGTACATAATCGACATCACAACTATTACTATCTTATCTGATTGCTAGTCACTTTACCCTTGCTTAATGTTTATACATATCTACCTCAAACACCTTATATCTGATCTATTCATGATGCCTCGTCACTTTACCCTACCTTCTTGTACATATCACCAAATACCTTTATTACTATATATCCTGATTGCTAGTCAAGTTTACCTCCTTCATGTACATATTAGTCTAAAATACCTATTATGATCTATCCTGATGCCTAGTCACTTTACCTGCCCATGTACATATCTACCTCCAATACCTTATTATTATCTATCCTGATGCACGCTAGTCACTTTACCCTGCCTTCAGTAAATCTACCTCAAATACTTAGTATATTTACTATCCTGAGCCCTAGTTCACTTACCCTGCCTAATGTACATATCTACCTTCAAATACCTTAATATAATCTATCCTGATGCCTAGTAGTCACTTACCCTGCCTTCAGTACATATCTACCTCAAAATACCTTATTATATCATTCCTGAGGAATAGTACTTTACCCGCATTCATGTAATATCTACCACAAAATACCTATTATTAGCTATCCTGATGCCTAGATCACTTTATCCTGCCTTCATGTACATATCTACCTCAAATACCTTATTATATATTATTTATCTGATGCCTGTCACTTCCCCAGCCTTCATGTACATATCTACCTATAATACCTTATTATATCTATCCTGATGCATAGTCAATTTACCCCTGCCTTCATGTACAATCTACCTCAAATACCTGATTATTATCTATCTGATGCCTAGTCACTTTACCTTCCTCAGGTACATATCTACCTCCAATACCTTATTATTATCTAATCCTGATGCCTAGTCACTTTACCCTGCTTCAGTACATAGCTAACTTCAAAATCCTAATTATATCTAAATTTCCCCTGTGCCTAGTCACTTTACCCTGCCTTCATGTACAATCTACCTCAAATACCTTATTATTATCCTTCCTGATGCCCTAGTCACTTTACCCTGGCCTTTCATGTACATATATACACAAAATACCATTATTA